GAGCCTGACCACCCGATCCCGTTAGTCGCCTTTTACGTCAAGCAAAGTCACCTTTTACGGCAAGCATGGGTTGCTAAAGACCTATTCATACCCGATCGGACTGATGCCGATTTATAGTGCTAGCTCACTGAGATACCATGCCACAGTTTAACATGAATACCCCACTCAGACACAGAAAACTGACTCCGAGCCGACCAGTCCTTGTTTTAGCCTCTTTATGCCGAGCGCCAGACAGGGTAACAACAAGTACGTTTAACGTCTTTTGGTATGACGCGGCCGGGGATCGAACCCCAGACCTTCCGCTCTCCGGGCTCACGCTCTACCACTAGACCACGGAGGCGGTCTCCAAATGAACCAAGCATTTAACTACTGCGGGTAGATCGAGCTCATACAGACTAAAATTTAAAAGTGTTGCAGTAAGGGTATTTTTCCTTTCCTTCCTTCTCTTTACTTTTCTTTTACTTGACGCTGCAATCCATTTATTCTAGCTGTAACTGGTGTCAGTTTTAGACCTGGAGTCAGCAATATACACGCACAACTATTGTCAATCTTAGAGCTGGAGTCAACAGTATACAGGCAGCCCATGGCATGTAGGCGTCTTCGTTGTGCAAGACAGGTCTACAGTCCAGTATCAGGGATGGAGAATTAGTGCAGTGAAATTACAAAAGGACGAAGAGAGCTATGTTATTGTTTCATGATTGAAGCGTCTGTATAATTCTTCCCTATCCCTTGAAGCGTTCGGAATATTTTGGTTATGGCGTCGAAGTTGGGCCTGTCATCTGGGTTCTCCACCCAACACTGACGCACGCATTCATGAACCCCCTTCGGGCTAAATACCTAGTTGAACATGGGACGGAAAGGTTAGTTGTCATAATATAGGGGTAAATCGTTCCTTTGGGGGCTGTTTTAAACGTGAAATATACACAAAGACAAAAGTTAAGCACACCTTAATATATTTCATTATTGTTTGGTCCCAATATTTGTAACAGTCAAGAAAGATATAATTACGGGAAGAATTATGTTTTCTCGAGATGATGTAATCAGTCATGCGTGACGAAATCTCACGTGTCATCCATGGTATGCCCGTGCAGCATGCTACCCTCGAGTATCTCTAAAAGCAATATATCCAAACGTTAAAATTGAAACAGTTATTCCATGACATTGTGTGACCATGGCACGATGGCCTCGCATGCATAACGCAGGAATGTCTTGTAATGCCACTGGTCGGAATTTGGGGAATCGTCACACTGTCGTTAGCCGTTTAGTCGAGAAACATGCTCAGACCGGTGATGTACAGGACTGCCCCATATCCGGAAGACCTCCTGTGACGACACATCGCGAAGTCAGGGACCTTCCTCGTCTCATATGCCAAGAACCCTTTTTAACAAGTACTTGTCTGAAACAGCTTTGGTTGCCCTATCGTCGTTTCAGTACCAGAATCATCAGGAACCGACTGAAAGCAACAGGACTGGGGGCTAGACGAGTCATGAAGCGTCCCTTGTTGAGAGATCACCACAAAGCTGCTTGTTCAGCATTGTGTATTGCGCGACAGACATGGCATCTGAGAACTTGGAGAAAAAAATTGAGATAAATAAAAATACTTTTGTTTAAATAACGCGCCGTAGGTATGCTGCAAACAGGAGTAGCGCAAAATGAGGTTGCCAGACACTTTAATGTTCATGGAAACACAATATCATTTCTTTGGAGAAGTTCTCTACAGCACGGCAAAACTCATGACTTGCCACGTGCCAGTCGTCCACGTGTGACGTCAAACTGCACATTAAAAGCTCGGACAATTCCTGGGTTGAGACCAATTAGTAGCAGAACCGTACGCAGCCAGCTGAGGTGCACGGCATCCGGCCCCGACGTCCAGCGATTCGCCCAATTCTACCAATTTTGTCACTGTCAGGCACGCTTATCCAGTTGTAGACAGCATCTAAGGTTCAGAAGACAAGGCGGGGGCAATATACTGTTCACGGATGGATCTGGACAGCTAGTTGGTCGTGCAAGGGTCAACATGCGTCCAGGAGATCGTTTTAGCGGCCCTTGCGTTACTCAATGTCGTCAGTTTAGGGGTGGAAGTATGAGGTTGCATCACAACTTTTGCATGGGAGAACACAACTCATCATTGTTAATGGCAGTTTGAATGACGTACGCTACCGGGGCAACATTTTTCGAGGTCATTTTCTACCCTTTGTGCAAATGAAGGGACGTTACGTCACATTGCAGCAGGATAATGCCCGCCCACGGGCACGTGTTGTAACATATGTTTTGGGGCAGCATAACGTGGTCGTCTGTTTCCCCAGACCTCTCCCCCACAGAACATGTCTGGGATGAGATGGAACGACGCCTACGATAGGACCAGAACCAGCAGGTAACGCAACACGTAGCTCGGCCAATCTTTGGCTGACATTTAGAGCAACTTTCCCCAGGTTTTCAATCATCTGGTGTCTTAATACGCCGCCGCTGCATCGCCTTACTTAACGTAAATGTTGGAAAAACCCGATATTGGTATTGTTCTCTTCTTGGGGCGTCGCTCTGTCTCCTGTTACCTGGGTGTTTTGTCAATGTATTTGTTATGATAAAACATAGTCAGGCGAATGTTCAGATTTTGTGTTGTTATTTTCAATAACATAATATTTACACCCCACAGCACAGTTACTTGTTCTGCTAGTAGATTTAAAGACATATAAAGAGTCAATGATAAAATAGTGAATACTCAACCAAGGTTCAATCAGTGTGCCCAGTCACGGGAGTATGTCATGAATAGGAGATGGTAAAAGCAATCATTGATGGTCAGTGAATTTGTGAGTGAGTGAATTGTGATTAATGCGTCTTTGAAGCTATGACGTATTTCAATTATATGACGGCTTGTTAAGGAAAGCTGCAGGGAAGCCTTCCGGTGGTATGGAATCTCACATGACGAAACATCATCTCATATGAGAATAACCCCTCGACGACGAACAGTATAACGACGAGAAACATTCAAGTTTCTGTTTACACCAATTAGAAGAGCATCAAGAAGACCAACTTGTTGCATGACAATAACAATTTGGGATATAGATCGCCAGCATGCATGGTACCCTGAACGGATTTGTACCTTACAGTAATACTGGATTGTTGGCAAGTTAAAACATAAAACAGTGATAGACATTTTAAATGAATGGGTCTCACATATGCTCACAGGGAATTAGTATAGACGATCAAATAAGTCATAGAGAATGATAAAAGAATTAACACCCTCATCCACGGAGTGTAAGAGATCTCACCAGGTCTGGAAGACTCAGTTATGTCCTGGATGGAATCGGACGAGGATAAGTCTACTGTCTTCATTTGGCATTTAAGACAGAGACAGAGTTGACAGTGTTGACAGACCACCTGTTTCTTGGAGCCTTCGTCCCTTGCCATTATGTCTCCGTGGTTGTCATTTGTTCATTTTTGTGCACATGTCATCACAGCTATATAACCATATCCTAAACAATTATTGCTAACTTGCTTGATAATGGTACTAGCAGACAGACAGACAGTTGTATTCATTTTAAGGCCTCCGGCCCAAAATACTTACAAAAGTATGATCATGTATGCGCATTTCATATCATATTTACAATTGGGTGATTCTTTTTATATGTACATGTTATAGAAATAGACAGATATTTCTGATACGAGGGGCGTTCAATAAGTTTTGCAACTTCAATATAAGACCAAGCTGCAGAATATCTTTTGCACTTTTATTTTTCAATATAATCTTCATTCATCTCAATACACTTATGCCATTTGTCCTTCAAACTTTTAATACCATTTTTATAGAAATCCGCAGATTGGCCCTCCAACCACGCCTCTGTGGCAGCCTTTATGTCCTCGTCATCCTGGAAGCGTCTTCCACGTGGGGCGGATTTCTATAAAAGTGGCATTAAAAGCTTGAAGGTCAAATGGAATAAGTGTATTGAGGTGAATGATGATTATATTGAAAAATAAAAGACTTGGTCTTATATTGAAGTTGAACGCCCCTCGCAACATAAATGTTCTTACTCTGCATGATAGAAATAAAATTGTTCATTGTAGGATATTTAACTATTTTACAATGAACTTGTTTCTCAGTTCAAAGTAGGGGTGACATGGTAATGGTACCAGCATGTGCACCAAAACGTCGCATGGAAAAATAACAGGTGAATCCAGAAGCCAACTCTGTCTTCGGGAATGTAGTCTACCAAACGGCCATTATCGACAGATTAAATGTTCCTTACTCATTGCAGAACATCAAAGGACAAGACTGATCCGATGAACTGCACAACATTATCATAATCGTGCGACCTGGGGACGAATCTTCATGTCTGATGTCTTACTGCATATGACTGACATTAGATTCAGTATCTCGTGAACCCGTGAATCTTGAATCCGTGAATGTCCTCCAAGAAATATCCAGAAAACTGCTCCAACTGGTGGTCCGACCAACCCATTATTTTACTGGGATATCTGAAGTGAATGTCGCATCTGTAACTACATAAAGTCGTCAGGAAGCTAGCACCGACCTGCCGCTTAACGTTCATGTCTAAAACACAAGTACGTTCTATATATGGCAGCTTTTTAGAGCTCTTTTCTAGGGGAGGCATGGGTTTTGTGGAATAAAATATGCTTCCCCGAAAAAAGCATTGGTTTGACAGAAATACGGGGATTTAAGTGAAAATATTTCTTTTCGAGTTCTGGTCTGTTTATACATAGTCATGTGACAGGAATTCATTCAAAATGGGTTAATTCCGCCAATCGGATTATCGGGACCATTACGTGACCCATGGACTGTAGTTTGGCACGCGAGGAAGTTCGGAGGACGTTTTATATATTCATTTTACAAATTATTTCATCTTTGGTTTGTTAAAAGTTTTCGCCCATTCGAATTGTTTTATTTTATTTGTAGTAATATACTAGGAAGTGCTTCTGTGTTGTTTGGCCTCCAATCCCATCATTCCAACCACTTCCGGTATTAGTATTTAGACTCAAGCGACTGTTTCTCTCCAGCGCTGGTCATCGAGGATATACGTGACAGTCTCGTTATCGGGACAGCAGCAGTGACTCCACTCTAATCATGCAGTTGTTGGAGGTGTTGTGTACGATAACGTTGTTACTGTCGTTACTAGAACAGTCAGCATATGCAAAAAGTAAGTACTGGCGTTGAGATTCTGTGGTATTATCCGTATTTTATTTCAAATATTACTTAAACTGTATAATGATCAAGTAGCAGCATTAAGCAGACTAGAAGGGTGTTTACCGAATGTCAACGGATAAGTTTGAAAATGAAATATAAGTTAAATATAAATAATTAATTTCACAATGTCACAATATATTACCTCGCTTTCATTTGCATTGGTATTGGTATTTTCATCAACACCATCAGATGCGGATTACGATGAGAATTTGCTTTCTCTTTTTATCTCTAAATATAAGATAGCTTCGCCATAAATCCCAAAGAACAATGAAGATCGAAGCGTGGTTTATTTCAAGATAAAATATCATTCAATCATGATGTCATTTCTGGAGATTCGAATATGCGCTCGCAACTTTGGGTCATATATTGGACGATGTTATTTTTGAGTTGTTCCCCATACATGTAGCTGGGCTACGCAGATAAAGGCATCGCATCCAAAAGTGGGAGAGATATGACAATCGGTATCAGGAGAAAAGGTACAGATGATATATATACGTCAGGATTGTGAGAGTATGCAGGAAATACTAAACTTACCCGAATTTTGTAAAGTGGACTTGTCCGACATTGCCAAGGTCCAGGGAATAATAATTATTAAAATTTAGGCGAATATTTTTAAAGCTTGTACATCTAATCAACTTCCTCAAAGAGGCTGTCCATTATGTTAATATCTCACATAAGAAATAAACGACTCGTGGTCGTTGTTTATCGTACAATAAAACAATCCAGGGAGAATAAACCGTGAATGTTTTATTGTACGCTAAACAACGACCACGAATAGATCAGTGAAAATCAGTGATGACAACAGGTGTTCGCGAAAAAGGAGAGCATGTGTATCCCTATCGGTATCCTCACACAAATTACATAAAAAAGTAGAATAGTGTGTGTGTGAGAGAGAGAGAGAGAGAGAGAGTGGAAGAGAGAGACAGAGTGAGAGAGAGAGAGACAGAATGAGAGAGTGAGAGAGAGACAGAGTGAGAGAGGTAGAATGAGGGAGAAGTAGAAGGACATGCAACAGCAAATATATGCGAAGCAGTAAGAAGAACAACTGTTGACAGAATATATTTATATGTGTGTGTGTGAAGTAGTACGGAATACAACTGTTGACATATATATATATATATATTCTGTCAACAGTCATATATGTGTCACACATATATATATGTGTGGGTATGTGTGTGTGACACATAAATGACTGTTGACAGAATATATATATATGTGTGTGTGAAGTATATGTATGTATGTATGTATGTATGTATGTATGTATGTATGTATGTATGTATGTATGTATGTATATATATATATATATATATATATATATATATATATATATATATATATATATATATATATAGGGCGGACAAGTACATGTACTGATCACGCTGCTGACAACAAGGAAGATGTCCATTTAGGCTGAGACCAGTTATAATATTTCGACACTTCTGACACTTCACATCATAAACCTTTCTCCATTTCCAGGAAGTTTTCATGTTCTGGTAATGTTCTTTTTCAAAAATGTCCTCCTTCCTGGTCCCAAAACAGGTCATCCAAAGAGTTTAACCAGACCGCCAGATCACACACTTGTTCAGCGAAATCGCCTACATTTTGTGTCAAACACCAAATCAGCATTGGGGAAGCCACGTCGACATGAACATTTCTGAACAGCCTTCCTCGGTCACCTTTTAGGGGTCGGAGAGTGGCTCTGTGTCACCCTGCTTCTGCATCGCCATGTACATGATTTGCTAATGAGAAAACTAATCAGATGCGGTCGATAACGTTCACAGATGAGTCATGTTTCTGTTGGACTGGATTGGATTCTTACGATGGTGGAAGAACACATGTGTACGAGAACACTACATATTGTATCAATTATGGTTTGAGGAGGAATATTATTAAACAGATGAACATAGATGTAAATGACAAGAAATTTAACTTCGAATGGTGACTGTTCTTGCGATGTCAAACATAAATCATAATAACCACATTATCATCATAATAATCACTCCTGTTCTGCTTATGACCTTTGAGCTTTTCCAAAGTCAACAAAACATAAATCGGTCAAAGTTCTGTTGCCAATGATATTGTCAATTCAGGCAATTTTATTTTCTTGATACTCGGATATACCATGTGCACACAAAATATAAGAAGTGTCTAAGAAATTACTGAACTTGAATGTGCCTTCAATAAAAGTTTGTTTTAGCTTCTGTGACTTATCGTACAATGGTGTTTTAGATTAAAGAATTCTTTTGTCATTTATTTCTATTGATAAGCAGATTATCTTAAATAAAGTGAATTGTCTTTCAGTCTGCTATAGAAGCCAAATATATTTGGACCCACAACACCTGGTTTGTGTTATCAGAACATCACTCTTGGCCTGTAAACGATGGGGACATTTTCGAGCAGAGTATTTTTTCAATGTAGGATACTCGTAGGAAAAAGCTACTGTATCGTCAGCGCTTTTTACTACCTTGATTGAAATAACAGTTAACAGTTCGTCATGTACGTTCAGGCGTTCGGGCCATGAAACAATGTTCCTCGTAAAATGCTTACCTAGCCACCATGCTCTCCTCCTTGTTTATCCCAGTATGCGGAAAACTCTTTAGCCACCACTGATAAATCTTCAGATAACTTGCAGGTTCAAATGACATTCACCATAGTAGAACTGGTTTTTGCATTTCTATGGCATGATTATCGCGTTATAGTAATAATATACATGACATGACAAGACATAGCTAACAATGTCCTTCCACAAGATTGATTCATATATTCATCTTAAATTTATCTTTGTATTAAAGCATATTCGTGGAAACAATATTTTGCATTACGGTTGTACAGGGAGGACATGTCCGAATTTGTCCCTGCCAAATGGTCGCGTGCGGATGCAAGACAGGGACAGGGAGGCTCACTTCGAGTGTAAGAAGAACTATACGAGACTGGGGGACGCGACTGCTGTGTGCAGGGGGTCGAATATATGGAGCCATCCCACGCCTATATGTATATGTGAGTACCCGTCTGTGTACATGTACCCCGAACCACCTCATCTCAATATGTATATGTGTGTATCGATGTTTGAATATACCCCAGACTATCCCATCCCTATACTTGATTACCCTTCTGTACATATGTACCACTCCATTCTACTCACCCTACATGTATATGTGAGTACCGTTCTGTGTACCTGTATCCCAGACCACCCCACCTCTATAAGTATATGTGAGTACCCGTCTATATATATGTATCCCTGATCAACCCACACCCACCCCGACCCCTAATCCAACCATCCCACCCCTATATGTATGTGTGGATACCCTTCTGTATATGTGCATGAATGACCACTTTACGCCCACCCCAACCCCCACCACATACCACCCAACCAACCTCTATATGTAGTGGCAACCATACGCCAACCCTATTGTAATACTGGTACTACTCTTGCAATCGTATAGTATCTTTTTCAATATATGTTGTAATATTATTGAAGCAATTAAACAAGAGGCCCATAGGGCCTGTATCGCTCACCTTGATATTTACGCAATTATGACAAAAATATACAATTGCTTTGTACAGGTATATAATACTGCAAATATTTCGTAATTTTGACTCAGCATTTAAAAGGGGTGCATGGCAAATCTGACAGCATGAACGTGTACTTCTCTAGATACAAATGTAGAATAAAGACCGTTTTCATGATCCAGGATCTACGTTTCCAGGGGCAAGGCTGGACCAAAGGGCGAATCCTATAGGCATAAATGTATTATTCTCTTCATAACAAACAAATGTATACAATGTTTCTGTTAATTATAGGGTGGGGATAATGTTGGTTTGCTTGTTATAGCCTTTGGGTATGCCGGACAGATGAACAGAACGGCCAGTCCTGGTAGCATATGTGTATTTGTCATATTACACTAAGCAATCACATGCATACATGTATATGGCAATAGGGTGGGGATCTCAACTGTTTCCGAGTTTTCACCCAAGAACTTAATCCCATAAGTGTGTGGCTCAATTCAAATATGATTGTGTTTGTCTCTTAATGCCCAGCAATTGTATATATGGTTATGGGGATCTCAACTGTTTTGACCCAGGGGCTAAGTCTCCAGGGGCGGAGAAAGACCCCCGGGCCATCCTGCTATCATATGTGCTATTACACTCCGCAATTGTACATGTGGATTTTATGGTTGATATCTATCTCTTAGTTTTAGAGAAGAAGTCGATTAAAGCAATATAGCCAAATTACTCCTATTTTGCCCAACCCCTTAGCCCCTTGGGGGGCAGCCCCACCATTTGTACAATTTTGAATCCTCACCACCGGAGAATGCTTCCAACCAAATATGATTGATATTTATCTCTTAGTTCCAGAGGGGCGGTCGGGTAGCCCAGTGGTTAAAGCGTTCGCTCGTCACGCCGAAGACCCGGGTTCGATTCCCGACATGGGTACAATGTGTGAAGCCCATTTCTGGTGTCCCCCGTCGTGATATTGCTGGAATATTGCTAAAAGCGGCGTAAAACCATACTCACTCACTCACTTAGTTCCAGAGAAGAAGTCGCTAAAAGCAATATAGCCAAATTACTCCTATTTTGCCCCACCCCTCAGCCCCTTGGGATGTCAGCGCTATCATTTGTACAATTTTTAATCTCCACCACCCAGGTATGCTTCCAGTCACATTTCGTTAATTTCCAAGCAGTAGTTCAGACGAAGAAGTCGTTTGTAAAAGGTGATGACGGCTGGACGACAGACACCACGTTATGGCATAAGCTCACCTTGGTCCTTCGGTCCCGGTGAGCTGATAATTTCTTTAAGAAAATGCGTCAATGTTCTGTTTCCAGCACGCGGTTGTCCCCCTCTTGGTGCTCTCCCTCAGATGAAAGTGAAAAAGAGCTACAATGGAGCCCTTTTCAAGTTTACCTGTCCAGTAGGAACCGAACGCACAGGACCGGAAGTCATCACGTGCGACGGGCGAGAGTGGAGTGAAGATCCCCCTACCTGCAACAGTAAGAACAATGCCATTTCCCCCACCAAGATTTGACCTTTTGTTCGTATACTGTGAAAACGGTTCGTTCTCCAAGCTTTGAACAATGGAAGTAATGTTTAATTTCAAGTTACAATACGCACATTGGCCGTATGTTCTAAAGGTTTATACATTGACTTCTTTATCAAGGACATTTCCAAAAGTGGCTTCCTTTGGGTTGTTTTGGACTGATTTAGATTGACTGATTGGTTGAAATGCGTACATTGACCGTTTATTCTAGACTTTCTTACAATGTCGTCAAGAACATTTTAGAATATTGATTCCCTTGGGTTGTTTTGGATTGCCATATGGTCAGCATAGTGTCTGTATTAAAAATTTATTACACTTTGGACATTGCTTTTGGATTTAATCAGTGTACTACCATAATTTAATAGAATGGTAAGATTTGGAATGAAAGCTTTGGCATGAACTGATAATCTCCAGAGGAGCATGCATGATTATGGGAATGGTTTATGGGGATTCTCTACAAAATATGCTAAATTGAACAGGAAATAAATGAATTAGAGGGACAGATTGACTTCTTTGTATCATTCCATAATATAATTGACCCGTGAAGATTCCGGGGTAGAATAGGTCTTCAACAACCCATGCTTGTCGTAAAAGGCGACTAACGGGATCGGGTGGTCAGGTTCGCTGATTTGGTTGATGCATGTCATCGATCCCAATTTCGTGGACCGATGCTCATGATATTAAGCACTGGATTGTCTGGTCCAGACTCGATTATTTACAGACCGCCGTCATATAGTTGGAATATTGCTGAGTGCGGCGTTAAACAACAAACCAACCAACCAACCATAATATAATTCTTCTCACTGTTTGTTATATACAACACAAATATATGCCTTCTCAACCTCAGGATAGGGCATGACTTGACCCTAGTCGTCCCTCATGATCGTAGGTTTCGAATGCCAGATTCACCCTGAATATGTGTCTGGATTTCTCAGTAACATACCTGTGCTCGTTGGTTTCACCAAAGTAGTAAATGCATGCGGCCTATGAAGCTTTCCCACGTCAAGATGACACGCTGTGATAACTGAAATACTGTTCAAAGCGGTGGTTAAATCAATCTCAAAAACTCACTCACTTTCCTATAGGAAATATGTTGTAATTGTCTCATATGATCAATATCTACCAACTGGGAAAAGCTTACCTAGCCACCATGCCCTTCCTCCTTGTTTACCCCAGTAAACGGAACACTCGTCAGCCACCACTGATAAATCCTCCGATAACTTGCAGGTGTTATATTCATCATCATAATGGAACTGGGTTTTGCCTTTCTATGGTATGAGTATTATCGCGTTATAGGAATAATATACATGCCATGGCAAGACTTAGCTAACAATGTCCATCCACAAGATTCATTCATATATTCATCTAAATGTATCTTAGTTATTATTATGAAATATTCGTGGAAACCATATCAACATTATATTGGAAAGTATAGTATGAGCTTTTACATTACGCTTTTATAGGTTGGAAATGTCCGAAGTTGTCTCTGCCAAATGGACGCGTGATGATGCCGAGAGGGGGCAGGCTGGCTAAATTTAAGTGTAAGAAGAGATATACAATACTGGGGGACAAGTCTTCCAAGTGCCAGCGTTCGAATACGTGGAGCCACCCCACGCCTATATGTATATGTGAGTATCCGTCTGTGTGCATGTACCCCAAAACCACCTTACCTCAATATGTATATGTGTGTATCCGTCTGTATGAATAAACCCCTGACTATCCCATCCCTATACTTGATTACCCTTCTGTGCATATGTACCAATCTATTCTACCCACCCTATATGTATAGGTGAGTACCCGTCTATATGTATATACATGTGTCCCTGATCAATCCATAACCACCCCAAGCCCTAATCCTACCATCCCTCACCTATATGTATTTGTATTACTGGTACCACTTTTGCAATCGTATAGTATCTGTTTCAATATGTCTTGTAATATTATTGCAGCAATGAAATAATTTCTTTAAGAAAATGCATCAATTTCTGTTTCCAGCACGCGGTTGTCCCCCTCTTGGTGCACTTCCTCAGATGAAAGTGAAAAAGAGCTACAATGGAGCCCTTCTCAAGTTTACCTGTCCAGTAGGAACCGAACGCACAGGACCGGAAGTCATCACGTGCGACGGGCGAGAGTGGAGTGAAGATCCCCCTACCTGCAACAGTAAGAACAATTATACCATTTCCCCCACCCAGATTTGACCTTTTGTTCGTATACTTGAGAAAACCGTTCTTTCTTCAAGCTTTGAACATGGAAGTAATGTTAAGTTTCAACTTACAATACGCACATTGGCTGTTTATTCTAAAGGTTCATACATTGACTTCTTTATCAAGGACACTTCCAAATGTTGCATCCTTTGGGTTGTTTTGGACTGATTAAGATTGACTGATTGGTTGATATGCGTACATTGACCGTTTATTCTAAACTTTCTTACAATGTCGTCAAGAACATTTTCGAATGTTGATTCCCTTGGGTTGGTTTGGATTGATTTGTATTGTTTTGTCTTGTTTTGGATTGTGTATTGCTCTATGGTCAGCATAGTGTCTGTATAAATGATTTATTACAATTAGGACATGGCTTTTGGGTTAAATAGATGTACTTCCACATTTTAATAGAATGGTAAGTTTCTGAATGAAAGCTTTGGCGTCAAATGATAATCTCCAGATGAGCATGCATGTTAACGGGGATTTATTAACGAGGAAATAAATGGACAGATTGACTTCTTAGTATCAACAGACACTATATATATGGCCGTCATGGAAGAGAAGACCCACGTATCATCCCATAAAATAATTCTTCTCACTGTTTATTATATACAACAAAAATGTATTCCTTCTCACCCTCAGGATGGGGCATGACTTGCTCAAGACGTCCCTCATGATCGTAGGTTTCGAATGCCAGATTCGCCCTGAATATGTGTCTAGGTTTCTCAGTAACATACACACCTGTGCTCGTTGGTTTCACCAAAGTGGTAAATGCATATGGCCTGCGGCGCTTTCCCACTTCAAGATGACACGCTGTGATAACTGAAATACTGTTCAAAGTGGTGGTTAAATCAATCTCAAAAACTCACTCACTTTCATTTAGGAAATATGGTGCATTTGTCTTATATGATCAAGATCTACCAACTTGGACATATTTAGTATTTGAGAAATGCTAAGGTTGGCTATTTGCTCACTGATCAGGTATCAACACAATGGAGTGTGACTTTGAGAAGGGTATCTGTGGGTGGGGCCAGGATACCTTTGACAACTTTGAATGGACGAGAATGTCGGGAGCCACGTCCACAAGGGGTACAGGACCTCCCGGAGACCACACCACTGGCTCAGGTACCAACTGTGCATGGTCCCTTTAAACTGGATGGTCAGAGTCTAACCACAACAAAATAACTGTGATCATATTCTAGTCCTCAACAGTTCTCTCATTTTTCTTGAAGTCTTCATGTGAACTGGTGACTTATTTTGGGTCATGGTAACCCTTACTGGCTTTTAAAAGATTTGTTTTATATTCAAATTTGTGAAATTAAACATTTTGAAACCAAATGTTGCGTTTTGTGCGATGTCGTGAGGTGCACAGAAGGTTATGACTTTCTTTTAACCCCAATACGCATTAAAACGACATGTCTGTAATTCTGATTCGTCTTGACATGTGGTTTGTTGCGAACACCATTCAAACATTCAAACAAGTATGCAATGATCTTTCGTCCATATCATTATCATTTTCATTAATTTGTATTTAATATGTGTTTGTGATTGCAGTCACATTTGTCTTCAACTGAACTTTCTCTCATTTAACAATATCACACTATTAATCACATGTATATTGGATCGATTGATCGCAAGGAAAACAATTGGGTTTGGGGTACCTATGGGTCGTGTTTACTGGTAACGGTAGTATGTTATGTGTATCGGTAAATCAACGAAATATGGAAGATCGTAGTTGTGCTCCGAAATAACCTAATAAAATACAAATGTCTATGTGCTGTCATAGAGCCGAGTCATTCGCTATAGTAGAAGAAAAAGGAAAATGTATAGAGTGCCTCTGGTCCAACTGGTCGTTAAAACCTGAGTGATATTGACCAGAACGGAAGACTCGCGAAAGCCGTATTTTGGCCACTGATCTGGTAATATCCAACGCTATATAATCATATAATTATGAAACCTCGAGTGTAATGGAAGTTTCCCAGGAATATTATTCAACATTTCGATGCATCCTGACCTTTCGAATTCCTTTGCTTAAAGTAGTACTTCACACTGAGTTCGATCTTTAATTCACATACTCTTGCAGATAACATCCTTGAACCTTGCGTTCATATTCAGTTCGAAATGTCCGCCACGTCATGAAAGACGCCATGTTACTATAAACTGCTTCAAAAGCAAACCAATTGTCGAAAAATAAAAGATATTGTTGTCGACATTTGCTTTACCATTTTCCACAAATTGCACGTTATTTAAGAAACAAACTATGTTATGTAACACCAAACAGATGATGCTTAATATTATTGATTTGATTAACTTTAAATGTTAGTTCTATTTCTTATCTCCCAAACTGGGCCGTCCAGCAAGGGTGCGCCCCTATGTTTTGAATCATATTAATATTAATGTTGTCTTAAAGTATTAAAACACATGTGACTAACGCATTTTATAACTTGCTTCATGTCTTTATGTCCAGAAGCGCCTATCGGAAGGGCAGGAAATGCTTACCCGTTTAGCAAACAGCTGGAAACTGATTTTCAGGAATCAATCCCTGCCCAATGTAATATCTTTTGGCAGATTATCGAGAGTGGTTGTTCTCTGGCGTGAACGATTTGTATTATGTTTGGTGTCTACATTTCACAACATTTGAGGTACAGCGCTAACCAAGTATGCTGTTGCCCATTATATATGGTCTAAATACCTTCTAGAAAGTTCTTTACAGTCCTGGATTGGTTTAACTGTTCTAGAAGAATCCCGATTACACTTGACTCCCAAATCATCTAGATATAGCAATTTCAACACCACTGCTTGCATTAGATAATACTATATTCTAACCACTGTCAAACACAATGCTTTGAACTTCTACTGAAACAAAAACAATGTAATACTATTACAACATTTGTTGTTTAACAATACATAACACTGCTATATCCCATTAGTCATATAAAGAATACCATGGCCTTTGAAGCGCCACTCACCGAGCATTATCTGATTGGCATTAGCACGTTATGTTATTCGAGTGATCCATCCTGTGTGTGTTGTTTAAACTTATCGATTTGTGTATGTGTACCTTCAGGATTCTACTTGTTTATGAAGAGTTCGAGTCCAAGGAAGGCGGGGGATACTGCCCGACTTATCTCGCCCGAATACCCACCCACACTCCGGAACATGTGCTTTGAGTTCTGGTACCACACGAAAGGACCATCGAACGACGACGGTGAGTGTTCGTCAATCGCCGGAAATACTTCGATGAATGTACGTTTAAAGTTTTGAGGATTGGTTCGTTTGATTATGTACAGGAACATTCTAAAATATGTTTAGAATCAATCAAGATCTGAGAATTTAAGCTCTACAACAGAGTGAAGAATTGAATTAAACGCAGCATTAACGTAATTTGGTTATATACCTGGTTAATGTGAGAGAAAGTATCAAAGTTACTTCAATCTGACAGTCCATGTACATTTTGCAAGACGATATTAAATGCAATATGCACAGGTTTAGTCCAGAGAACTGGAAGTTGAAATGCGTTCTGCGTCATGCCACTTAGGATCCATGTGTACTAGTTTCGCTCCGGATAATGATCCCCGAACTTTTATCACAATATCAATGCTCATGGAATTCATGGGCCAGAAACCTATGATACTGGGTTCGATTGCCTGACTTCCATTATTCTGGTTTTCCATCGTCTTCAAGCTCATTCACTCTCTGTAATGATCACTTCATGTGAGGCTGACATTTATTTTGGTGAATCAATGTTCCTCAGCTGTGGGAAGCCTGGAAATATATATCCTACCCTATACAGCCAACATTGAGGAAAGTGAACCCAAGTTTTACCACCATCGGAACCAAGGAAACGAGTGGCACCGCGGACTTGTGAAGATCCCTGACCATGACCACAAATTCAAGGTAGAAAATATATCTAAAACACATACATGTATGTGTGTGCATAAGATATACATGAATTGGTTTATTTTTCCCTTATAACCAGTTTAATGGATGTGCATGTGTCCATGAATTAACCGAAATGATTAGACTTAGACACGCACTGAAATGATTTGACGAGCAGGAAATCACACTGACAGTGTTTCAGGCTTTCAAATTAACAGCATAAACATATTTTATCTTTTCTTAAAAGCTGTTACTTCGTTGTTATTGAAACCATTCGGACCTCGTTAATATGTATTGCTGATCTCGCCATCATGCTTCGCAACATTATTTTCCGCACAGATCGTGATAGTTGGGACAAGAAAAGGGGCGTATGCCAGCGACATCGCCATTGACGATCTCCGGATGTTCAACTGTTCAGAAGGTACGGCATTACCGTGTGTATAGACATGAACGAACGGAAGGAATCAGACCATAAAAGTCTTGCTTCCTCATGGTGTTGGAAATTAGAAGAAAAAAAATCGCATCGAAAAATGCCATCATTGAAATATTTAGTTTAATAATAACATGAACTTTAACTTGAATTTGCATATCATATAACATTGCTTTATGAACAAATATTTTTATAAAAAACATCAGAATTTAGAAGTTATAAAATTATATGAACATTGAATGTAAATTATCATTCAAACATTGAATATAAAAGTTAATTATCATATCATATCAAGCTTTCTATACATATCCATTCACTTATTGATCTTCTAACTCTTATAAGGATATAAAGATGTAAGTAATGTCAGGAGACAATGATGGTCAATATGATCCTTTATATTTCACCTGACAGTTGATTTCATAGATTCCATTTTATGCAGTGACTACAACAACGATGCAAACAACAACAACAACAACAAAACGAGCAACCAGGATGACTGTAAAAACAGGTATTACCGACAGCGTTATGACTGCAGACCGTGTCAGATCCACAACATCTAGATCTGCCAGTAGTACATGCAAGAAATAGTGCCTTCTGGTAAAACGACTTTGTCTGTACTGACGACAACGACTGCTAATTCTGTGACAACATCTGCTGTGATGTTTGAATGTAGGATACACGTGGGTGAAAGCTACTGTATCGTCAGCGCTTTTTTACTACCTAGATTAAGATAACGGCAAACACTTCGTCATGTGCGTTCAGGTGTCTCAGGCCATGAAACAATGTTCCTCGTGAAAAGCTTACCTTGCCACCATGCCCTTCCTCCTTGTTTACCCCAGTATGCGGAACACTCGTCAGCTACCACTGATAAATCTTCCGATAACTTGCAGGTGTTCTATTCATCATCATAATGGAACTGGGTTTTGCCTTTCTATGGTATGAGTATTATCGCGTTATAGGAATAATATACATGCCATGGCAAGACTTAGCTAACAATGTCCATCCACAAGATTCATTCATATATTCATCTAAATGTATCTTAGTTATTATTATGGAATATTCGTGGAAACCATATCAACATTAAATTGGAAAGTAAAGTACGAGCTTTTACATTTCGCTTTTATAGGTGGGAAATGTCCGAAGTTGTCTCTGCCAAATGGACGCGTGACGATGCGGAAAGAGGGCAGGCTGGCTAAATTTAAGTGTAAGAAGAGATATACAATACTGGGGGACAAGTCTTCAAAGTGCCGGCGTTCGAATACGTGGAGCCACCCCACGCCTATATGTATATGTGAGTACCCGTCTGTGTACATGTACCCCAAAACCACCTAACCACAATATGTATATGTGTGTATCCGTCTGTATGAATAAACCCCTGACTATCCCATCCCTATACTTGATTACCCTTCTGTGCATATGTACCACTCTATTCTACCTACCCTATATGTATATGTGAGTACCCGTCATTATATATATATATATATATATATATATATATTTATATATGTGTGTGTGTGTGTGTGTGTGTGTGTGTGTGTGTGTGTGTGTGTGTGTGTGTGTGTGTGTGTGTGTCCCTGATCACTCCATACCCACCCCAAGCCCTAATCCCACTAAATAATATGTATTTGTGAATACCCTTCTGTATATTTGCATCAATGACCACTCTACACCCACCCCAACCCCAACCCCAACCACATATTACCCAACCAACCTTCATATGTAGTGCCCATCATACGCCAATCCTATTGTAATACTTGTACCACTTTTGCAATCGTATAGTATCTGTTTCAATATATGTTGTAATATTATTGCAGCAATTTAATAAGTTCTTTAAGAAAATGCGTCTACTTTCTGTTTCCAGCACGCGGTTGTCCCCCTCTTGGTGCTTTTCCTCAGATGGAAGTGGAAGACAGGTACAATGGCGCCCTTCTCAAGTTTACCTGTCCAGTAGGAACCGAACGCACAGGACCGGAAGTCATCACGTGCGACGGGCGAGAGTGGAGTGAAGATCCCCCTACCTGCAACAGTAAGTACAATGCCATTTCCCCCACCAAGATTTAACCTTTTCTTCGTATACTGGAGAAAATCGTTCTTTCTCCAAGCTTTGAACATGGAAGTAATGTTTAGTTTCAACTTACAATACGCACATTGGCCGTTTATTCTAAAGGTTCATACATTGACTTCTTTATCAAAGACCCTTCCAAATGTTGCTTGCTTTGGGTTGCTTTGGACTGATTTAGATTGACTGATTGGTTGAAATGCGTATATTGACCGTTTATTCAATGTCGTCTAGAACATTTTCGAATGTTGATTCCGTTGGGTTGTTTTGGATTGATTTGTATTATGTATTGCCCTATGGTCAGCATAGTGTCTGTATTAATATTTTACAACAATTAGGACATGGCTTTTGGATTAAATAAATGTAATTCCAGATTTTAATAGAATGGTAAGTTTCTGAATGAAAGCTTTGGCGTCAAATGATAATCTCCAGATGAGCATGCATGTTTACAGGGATGGGTAAAACTTGGAATAGATTCGCTACATAAGATGCGAAATTGGATAGGAAATACATGAATTAGTATTAACAGACTTTATATACGTGGCCGTCATGGAAGAGAAGACCCACGTATCATCCCACAACATAATTCTTCTCACTGTTTATTATATACAACAAAAATATATTCCTTCTCATCCTCAGGATGGGGCATGACTTGCTCAAGACGTCCCTCATTATCGTAGGCTATTTGCTCACTGAGCAGGTGTCAACACAATGGAGTGTGACTTTGAGAAGGGTATCTGTGGATGGGGTATCAGGATATAAGGATGTAAGTAATGCCAGGCGACAATTCTGGTCAATATGATCCTTTATATTTCGCCTGACAGTTGATTTCATTGATTCCATTTCATGCAGTGACTACAACAATGATGAAAACAACAACAACAAAACGAGCAACCAGTATGACTGTAAAAACAGGTATTACCGACAGCGTTATGACTGCAGACCGTGTCAGATCCACAACTTCTCCCGCTAGCACACGCGAGATGGCCAAGAACGTCACCATAGAAATAGTGCCCCCTGGTGAAACGACTTTGCCTGTACCATCGACAACGACTGCTAAACCTGTGACAACTTCATCTGTGGGTCCGACTACCACAACTGTTGTCACTACATTACAAACTACACCAACAATGTCAAGCATATCAGCAACATCTACAACTTCTACCACTACGAAGATGACAACACCGCAACGACAAACTTCGACAGTGAGTAAGCTCACTTCCAACACAAAGGCTCCAACTGTCACAATGACGTCAACTCCATCTACGCAACGGCCAACGTCAACTTCCACATCCTCGGCAGTGACATCAGTCTACAGTTTCACCAGCAAGGCCAAAGCGAACGCGACTAACGGCACCGTCACCACTTACGAAGGTGAATCTTAATACGTCACAACACCTGCTCTCTCTCTCTCTCTCTCTCTCTCTCTCTCTCTCACGTAAAATTCAAAAATGTCCTCAATGTCCTCAATATGTCTATGATAATACTTTCTAAAACTTTACATATTGTAAAGACCCTGCATGCTGTTACCCTTATCAGACCAAGGATCGTATGTCACTCTTTGAAACATTCGTATTAAGACCATGGACCTGGGTTTTGTATTTCTAGCATGAGTATTATCGCGTTGTAGGAATAATATAACCATGTCCATCCACAAGATTGATTTATATATTCATCTAAAATGTATCTTTATTATTATGGCATATTCGTGGAAACCATGTCAACATAATATTAGTAAGTGTAGTACGACCTTGTGCATTACGGTTTTATAGGTGGGACATGTCCGAAGTTGTCTCTGCCTAATGGTCACGTGGAGATGCAGGTGCGGGGCAACTTTGCTTACTTCAAGTGCAAGAAGGGATATACGATACTGGGGGACGAGTTTGCGGCGTGCCGGAGTTCGAATACGTGGAGCCATCCCACGCCTATATGCGTATGTGAGTACCCGCCTGTATAAATGCATCTCTGGCCTTCCCATCCCTATATTTGATTACGCTCTATGTACATGTAACACAAACCACCCCACCTCAATATGTATATGTGTGTATCCGTTTGTATGAATAAACCCCTGACCACCACATCCCTATGTATGTATGTATGTATGTATGTATGTATGTATGTATGTATGTATGTATGTATGTATGTATATATATATATATATGTCCCTGATCACCCCACCCCCACCCCAACCCCTAAGCCAACCATCCCAACCCTATATGTATGTGGGAATACCCTTCTGTAATTGTGCATCAATGACCACTCTACGCCCACCCCAACCCCAACCCCAACCCCATATCACCTAACCAACTTCTAGATGTAGTGCCCATCATGCGCCAGTCACTACTTTGTCAAGGACATTTCGAAATGTTTCTTTCTTTGGGTTGTTTTGGACTGGTTTAGATTAATACGGTTTGTGTATTGCCCTGTTCTGGACAGTTGTCTGTCTTGACAGCTTATTACAATTATTAGAGCATATGGTTGAAATGCGTACATTCTAAAATTTCTTACAATGTCGCCAAGAACATTTTCGAATGTTGATTCCTTTGGGTTGTTTTGGATTGTTTTGTATTGTGTATTGCCTTGTGGTCAGCATAGTGTCTGTATTCATAATTTATTACAATTAGGACATGGCGTTTGGATAAAATAAATGTACTTTTATAAAAAAAATTTAATGGTAAGTTTCGGAATAAAAGCCTTGGCGTTAAATGATTCACTTACTTTCCTTCAGGCCATATGTTGTAATTGTCTTATATGATCAAGATCTATCAACTTGGACGTATTTAGTATTTGAGAAATGCTAAGTTAGGCTATTTGCTCACTGATCAGGTGTCAACACAATGGAGTGATCCTTTATATTTCACCTGACAGTTGATTTCATTGATTCCATTTCATGCAGTGACTACAACAATGATGAAAACAACAACAACCAAACGAGCAACCAGTATGACTATAAAAACAGGTATTACCGACAGCGTTATGACTGCAGACCGTGTCAGATCCACAACTTCTCCCGCTAGCACACGCGAGATGGCCAAGAACGTCACCATGGAAATAGTACCCTCCGGTAAAACGACTTTGCCTGTACCCACGACAGCGACTGCTAAATCTGTGAAAACTTCATCTGTGAGTCCGACTACTACAACTGTTTTCACTACATTACAAACTACACCAACAATGACAACCAAATCAGCAACATCTACAACTTCTACCACTACGGAGATGACAACACCGCAAAGACAAACTTCGACAGTAGGATCTTCAGCGAAGCTCTCTACCAACACAAAGGCTCCAACTGTCACAATGACGTCAACTCCTGCCACATCTACAACTTCTGCGCCTACATCTCCGCAACGGCCAACGTCAACTTCCACATCATCGGCAGTGACATCAGTCTACAGTTTCACCAGCGAGACCAAAACGAACGCGACTAACGGCAACACCACCCACGAAGGTGAATCTCAATACGTCATCTGCGATCTCTCTCTCTCTCTCTCTCTCTCTCTCTCTCTCTCTCTCTCTCTCTCTCTCTCTCTCTCCTCTCTCTCTCACGTCAAATTTAAAAATGTCCTCAATATGTCTATGATAATACTTTGTAAAGCTTCACTATTTATGTAAGACCAAGGATCGTATGCCACTCTTTGAAACATTCGTATAAAGACCATGGTCGAATGTACATGGAAAGTTTGGAGTTGAAAGGCTGGAGCTCACGATAAAAGTTAAAGTTGAAAGAGAAGATAAAGAGAACGTTGACCATAAGAAAATTCAAGTCGTCCCTCTTGTCACACAGTCTTGTGGACATCTTTTGTCATTGTTAATTTCATTTCACATAGTTTCACTGGTATCTTCTATTACGAGTTCAGATGGTTATATCAGTGGAAGGGAATTAGCTATTGGTAGCAGTCAGCAACCCGTGATCATATTATTAATTCTTACCGTTTACTAAGTACAACAAACACATTCCTTCTCATCCCTGTGACGTGCTCGAAACCCATGATCTTTTGTTCGAATCCAAAATTCGCTCTAGATATGTGTCTAGCTTTCTAAGCGCCTTACCCGTACTCGTTGGTTTCACCATAGCGGTAAAAGTCTGTGACATGCGGGGACTTTCCTCCCACATGAAGATAACACGTTGTGATAACTGAAATACTGTTCAAAGCGGAGGCTAAACCAATCTCACTCACTCGACTATATGTTGTTATTGTCTTATATGATCAAGATGTTCCAACTAGGATGTATTTAGTATTTGTGAAATGCTAAATTAGGCTACCTTCTCACTGGTTAGGTGCCAACAAAATGGAATGTGACTTTGAGAAGGGTATCTGTGTGGGGTGTATAAGGATATAAAGATGTAAGTATGTCAGGCGACAGTTAGGGTCAGTATGATCCTTCATATTTCACCTGACAGTTGATTTCATTGATTCCATTTCATGCAGCGACTACAACAACGATGCAAACAACAACAACAAAACGAGCAACCAGTATGACTGTAAAAACGGGTAGTACCGACAGCGTTATGACTGCAGACCGTGTCAGCTCCACAACTTCGCCAAACGTCCAGAACGTCACCATAGAAATAGTACCCTCCGGTAAAGCGACTTTGCCTGTACCCACGACAACGACTGCTAAATCTGTGACAACTTCATCTGTGGCTCCGATTACTACAACTGTTTTGACTACGTTGCAAACAACACCTACAACGACAAGTACATCAGCAATACATACAACTTCTACCACAACGAAGATGACAACACAGCAACGACAAACTTCGACAGTAGGATCTTCAGCGAAGCTCTCTACCAATACAAAAGCTCCAACTGCCACAATGATGTCAACTCTTGTCACATCTACAACCACTGCTCCTACATCTACACAACAGCGAAAGCCAACTTCCACATCCTCGACCGTTACATCAGTCTTCAATTTCAGCAGCATGGCACAACCGAACGTGACCAATGGGAAGGTCACCCCCCACAAAGGGGAGTCTCATGTCACGCACCGGCTACACTCAATGTCACCGCGTCCGGATGGAAATATTAAGTCCTCAGGTGACGATGACCATTTTACCGGAACTATTGAAAATGATATCACTACGCCATCTACGTCTGGTAAAGGCACGACATCAACAATACCTCCCGTTGTTCCAGCAGTAGCGGATGTAAGGAACACTTACAAAGCTTCAGGAGAAAGGGTTATGTCCCTTATTATCGGGATCTCTGCTGGTATTATTATGGGGATGATTGTGACTGACATTCTTGCATGGCTGTGGACACGCAACCAACGAAGAAACAAAGACCCTGAAAATGCAGAGGATGAACTAAACATGCACACAGCGTCAGATGCTGCGATAAAAAATACTTAATATAAATGATTACATTATGAATTGAGATTTAATGTTCAATTATTTTGTTGAATTTGAAGCCATTTTTTCACAGTGGTGTTTGGGTACAAGGAACACTCCAAATATATTGAATACTTTTGTTTGTTAAATGCGTTCAGCAAACTCAGCATGTGATGATGGTGAAAACAGAAAGTAATTGAAAAGAACGTTGAGAACATAGGACTATTTAGTGTATTTAGCAAATACATTAACATCGGCTTAAAACATATCTGTGACGTCATTCTGTTGTTTAAACGCTCTATTTTTCAGGCATAGAGGATTGTTTGTCAATTACACATAATCTTGAAACAACATTTCAAAAACTTTGCACTTGGAATTAACTGAATGTTTTTTTAATTTTTCTAACAGATGAATAATTTCAAATATTGTCGGAAAACATGTGTCGCCAGCGGGGTTCGAACCCGCATCGTTTGATTTGAGGACGTGTAACTGTCTACACTCAGCTACGGTAACACGTGAAGGTATGGTTTGAAATTAACTATTAAATATTCAATAATTTTGCATTATGCTTAAAAGCTCAAAACCATTATGCATATGTATATAATGTTGTATAAGAGCAGGTTACCTTTAGCAATGTTCATATTTATAGCAATTAGATAACCTTCAGGTAAATTCATGTATATTTACCATGTGCTAGCCATTGATGATATACTAGTCAATGGCCCCCCAAATATGAAGTGCCGTGCACCATGCATAGTCAATATCAGCTCGCGACGGAGCTTGGTACACGTCCAACAGCGGCAGAGAACGCATTCCTCGTGCAAGGGCGACTCACACAGTATAAATATAGACTCGAGAGTTCTGGTATATTTTTCAAATATTTTCACACACGAGAATAGTTTGTCAAAGCGTAAAAGTAGGGATGTGTTTTAAGTAAGGGAATATCTCGTAACTCTTTATTCCTTAACAATAATGGGCCCGGGCTCCTGCAGGGCCTCTTCCCCTCCACGTTATCTACTGATTTTTTTTTGTTCCTGCCACGTGTTTCTGGGACTACATTTCACATCATTAGTAATCGCTGACCGGCATGCTATTGACGATAAGACCGCCTCCGTGGTCTAGTGGTAGAGCGTCGGCCTTCAGAGAGGAAGGTACCAATACATGTTAAAAGATGATACTTGTTGTTACCCTGTCTGGTGCTCGGCATTCAGGGGATAAGACAAGGACTGGTCGGCTCGGAGTCAGTGTACTGTATCTGAGTGGGGTATTTATTTTAAACTGCGGCATGGTATCTCAGTGGGCTAGCGCTGTAAATCGGCACTGTTCCAGTACAAGCCGCCACACACACACGTACACGTGCATGCACGTCTTTTTGTATGATGCGGCCGGGAATCGAACCCCGAACCTTCCGCTCTCCGAGCGGACGCTACGCTCTACCACCACTTCACGGAGGCGGTCATTCACAATGAGTTAAGTGAAACAATGTACAGATGTATTCCTGGTGCATGCTCTCCTTGCTTTATATCAATATTTCTTTTATCTTGATCGTCATATTTTTTTTATCCTACGTATTAAGCTAACATTGGAACGTTCATAAACACAACTGTATAACTTAATATCTTGAGACTTCAAAATGTTACCTCTTTCAATGAAATCAGTATGACATTTTTGACCATACGCCAAGTTGGAAGGGTTGAACAATATATATATATGGTATTCTGAAATGGAAGGCTGACCTAGGGACAAGTCTAATACCTAGCTACAGAAAGAAACTTGTCAAAATCTCGGACGTGTTTTCATTTTATGTATTATTCCTACTATACATCATTGTCTTTATACATGGAACCATTTCACTCAGCAGCAAAGTGAAAGTGAATTAGTTTTTTGATTATTATTCATTAGGGCTATTTTATATACAAATTTTTAGTAAAAAATAATATGGTTTTAAATGTGGCATATTCTTTTCTGGGAACAAATTTAAATAGTTGTAGAAAATAATACACCAAATCATTAAAACCAAATTGTCAAACAATTATCCACCATTTGACTTAAGGGGACTATGGTATTTTTTTATCAATTACTGGTCAAGTTAAAGTGTCACTGAAGGCAAATACACATGGACGCTTGTTGCAGAAGACATCCGTCGTTGGAATGTGACAAACGGCCAAATGTATAGAAGTCACAATTTGTTTTTTATTGCCTTCATTGTGTGAGACAGTTTGTGCACATCGTGTTTGATATATTATTTCAAATATGTTCTCAATATACAGTAAAACCTCGTTACTCCGGACCCCTTTAAACTGGACTGTCCTTCTTCAGAGGGAACATCTTAGCACCGCCAATATATATGTGAAGGTAAATTACTCCATTGCCGAATTACTTGCTAATCTGAAAGCTGTTAATCTTGAAGATTTCATTGGGTAAGTAACCCCCGGATTAACGAGGTTTGGGATCATTCTATTTCAGCTTTTGGTAGCCTGTGCTAATGTATGTCAATAGCAGTGTAGTTGCGACAACAATACATGATTCACCCTGCAAAGACAAGTCATGTACTTAGAATTACATATTGTGGAACAGTTGAATCATTTCATAGATCATAGGCATAGCATGAGACTATTACGTTACCATATGAAACAAAACACCATACACTGCTATAGGAATTACTACAGTTACAATTGCATCACATGTTTGTGTCACTTCCTATGTGTAAGGTTACGGCCATGGATCAAGCTTGTAATTGTTTGTTCTATATTTTGAGCACTGTAATTGTACACGAGACGGGGCGTTTCCTTTTGTATACCAAGTTTCTTCACTCGTATGAGTGGAATATGACCATGGTGTAACCTATTTAAGGAAATAAATGCATGAAAAACTGAGGTCAGGTTGTCGTTTATTGTTAAACGCCGCCCTCAGTAATAGTCCAGCTATGTGATGGCAGCCTGTAAGTAAAGTCATTACCACACAATCCAGTGATTGATATTGTGATCAACGATCCACGCCATCGGGCTACAAGGACACGCTATCAACCAAGTCACTGAGCCTGACCAACCGACCAGAATAAGTTACTAGGGACCAGGGGTGGTGGGGTAGCCTTGTGGTTAAAGCGTTCGCTCGTCACGCTGAATGCCCGGGTTCGAGGAAGAAAGTTTTGTTTGAGTGTTCAAAGCAAGAACGACTTGTTTCAGTGTGTAGAGCAAGAGAGTCTTGTTTGAGTGTGCAGAGCAAGAAAGTATTGTGTGAGAGCGCGTCTGCAGAGCAGGAAAGTGTTGTTTGATTGAATTTTCAAAGTTTATTGGTAATTTCAAATGTTGTATTGTTATCTAAGCTTTCACTAAATTGTGGCGGTAACTATATTTACCTCACCGATTGCCCAAACGGTTAACTTTAACTCACAGAACTAATATGTTGACGTCAGTGAAATATTTGTTGAAAAAGATGTGCCATCATATATCTTTCAATTATTTCCTTTCTTAAAATTGACAATGAGTACAAAACACTGTCAACATCAGCTATTATATGGCAACTATATAGCGACTTGTAACTCGGAATTATGGAGTTCACGCTCATCGGGAATAAAAGTTATCCATAGTTATTTATTACCCATAGGGTTAGAAATAACCGAGTTCATAAAAATCGAATGTGCACTTGTGCAAATATGACTTCTCGTGTACCAGTGTATTGTTTCAGTAGCCGAACGGCATTGTTGACGTCATTCAAATCTTATTGTGACGTAAGGTCCGAATGACGTCACACAAGAAATGAAGTCACAGTTGAGGATTGTTGACGTCATTCGACAAATTGTAGTTTTCTAGGACAGCGGTGGTGATCAGTGCACGTTTCTAAAGGGGAGCTGAAAAGGATTAAGAAATAATGGGTAAACAACAAATTATTACACTCACATGTGTGTCATACTGATTTTACGAAACGCGTGTGAGAGCGATAGCGAGGGTAATACATGAATTCTTTCACGAGTTTGACACACACGCTCGTATAATAATTTCTATTTGATACTAGCGCTGATATAGCTTTACTTTACACAAAGGGGTAGAGCAAACTTTATTCCTCAAGCAGTGCACCATTAATCAAAGGAGCTGTCCGTCATCAAATAGACAGAAGATAATGCCATACGTTGTTGCGTGAACCACTCCCCTCGGTAAGAGAATGTGCATGAGTTATCTCAAAGGGACACAAGTCACTGTCTCTAGGTTTCCGCGAGGTATGTGGTGTCAGTATCGATACCTTTGAAACAACGTCCGCCTCTGGCCACTTAAATTATCAAAGTTAGTAGCCTTCAAGAAGGCCCGAGCCGTGAAAATAACCTGATTGACGTACATAGCTATTGTCAATGTGAAATGTACAATTCTGGCAATGTCCAGGGTGTGCTGCACTCATTTCACATTTGCTACACAAAATGCAACTTTATCCGAAAGTCGCTAGCTATGACCTCGAGATCTAACTATAACAATTCAGGGCCTAACAATCATCTAATAGAGAACAGACGATGCCTAGATACATTTTATTTTTAAAGTACATATAACTGAGCATGTATACTTAATACTTAAACCAAAGCGTAATGAACTGTAAACACACTGCCGAACACAATGTGTTATTATATACTTATAACTGGACGTAATGAACTGTAAACACACTGCCGAACACAATGTGTTATTAAATACTTATAACTGAACGTAATGAACTGTAAACACACTACAGAAAACTATGTGTTATTAAATACTTATAACTGAACGTAATGAACTGTAAACACACTACCGAACACTATGTTTTATTAAATACTTATAACTGAACGTAATGTACTGTAAAACATAACGGAACATAATTTGTTATTAAATACTTATAACTGAACGTAATGTACTGTAACATAACGGAACACAATATGTTAGTAAGCGCTTATAACTGAAGGTAATGTTCTGTAAAACATATAACGGAACACAATATGTTACTAAATACTTATAACTGAACGTAATGCACTGTAACATAACGGAACACAATATGTTAGTAAGCGCTTATAACCGAAGGTAATGTACTGTAAAACATATAACGGAACACAATATGTTACTAAATACTTATAACTGAACGTAATGCACTGTAACATAACGGAACACAATATGTTAGTAAGCGCTTATAACTGAAGGTAATGTACTGTAAAACATATAACGGAACACAATATGTTACTAAATACTTAAAACTAAACGTAATGTCTGTAAACATATTACAGAACACAATGTGTTATTAAATATATTTAACTGGTTACAAGCTGAATTAGAACTAACATATATACAACCAATAATAATATGTTATAAAACATATAACCGAGCATGTGTTATAAAACAAATACAACTAAGCACATAAAGTGCAAGAAAATATATAACTAAGCCAATATAGTGTTAGTAAATGGATATAACTTGATTCAATATGGTATGACACATGTATAACAAAGGTGCAATATGATCCAAGTGTAACGTGATTAACATGAAATACGACCCGGAGTAGAATAGGTCTTCAGCAACCCATGCTTGCCGTGAAAGGCGACTATGCCTGTCGTAAGAGGCGACTAACGGGATTGGGTGGTCAGGCCCGCTGACATGGATACTCAACATCAGCTGCAAATCTGAAACCACATAATGTTTATCTCCTAAATAACACAAATGTCCTTCCTGTGCACTTCTCCTCACATTCCATACCAAATTCTAATATGCAAACACGACATCACTTTCCCTGTCGTGCACTGTCCGCCTTCGCCAATATTCACAGTTCTTCAGTCATGACGTTGATCGTTACCCCGTCGTCCTATCACCTCATCAAGGTGCGGTTCCTGGAACACGATCCTCTTCTCTGGCTTCAACGCACCATGCTGCTGGACTTGGATACGTACAACTTTAGCTCTCCCTGGTGACAGGTCAGCGTGGTTCCAGACCTGAGGGTCAGCTGTACCCCATGGATCTCTGTCTAACTCAGGCCCAATGGTCACCCCACTATCGTCTGATTCGGTCTGTTCCGCCCATCCGTCCAGCTTAACACTTCTTTGTGGACTGTTGACTATTTCCTCGTTCTCTGTCATCTGGTCCTCGGCCCTTTCCGGATGGTGATGCTCAACATGTTGTTGTTGTTGATGTTGTTGTTGTTCTTCTTCTTCTTCTTCTTCTTCTTGCTGATGTAAAACTTGCTGCTGCTGCTTCTGCTGAACCTTCTGTTCCTTTTCTACATCTTTTGTCACATGTTTCTCGCCAACTAGCCAATATGTTGTCTGTAATCCCTTACCCTGAAACATTATATAATATCGTTGCATTGAAAAATAGGAGCCCCATCTAACCGTCGAGGTTTAAAGGGTATTAAAAAAGTCTTGGACTCTTACGAATGAAAGTATAAGGGACACACATAATATATCCCCCGGTAAAATCATTCATAAATCGAAAACACAAAGAGAACGGGCATATGATCTGATTATAAAAATAAGAAAAATAAATTCACTCACTCACTCACTCTCTCACTCACTCACTCACTCACTCACTCACTCACTCACTCACTCACTCACTCACATAGATAATACTATGCCATTGTTCTACACACCTTCATAGGAACCTGGCCTCTAAGGGGTGTATCAAATTGGCCGACTTTGTCCAGAATAGCCTTCGTTGTACCACTGAGGTGGATCCTCAGAGCTGAAGGAAAAGGATGAATATTTCAAAAGAGTTAGTAAAAAATTGTACTGGTTGAATTCGGCAATAAATTTAATCATTATTTCTTGAATTCGTCTTGGCACTTAGACGTTGTGAATAACCTTCTTTATTCCCGATAGGCACAACGCACCCCTCCATCAGGTGTATGATATTTGCAGGCTGAACCTTCATCAGTTGCACGAAATATTCTGTCTGCATACTTCATCAGGTGTATGACATGCTCCGTCTGTGCAAATTCTGTCTAAATCCTTCATCAGGTGTTGACAAATTCTGTCTAAATCCTTCATCAGGTGCTGACAAAGTCTGTCTAAATCCTTCATCGGTTGTTGACAAATTCTGTCTAAATCATTTATTGGGTGTTGACAAATTTCGTCTAAATCCTTCATCGGGTGTTGACAAATTCTGTCTTAATCCTTCATCAGGTGTTGACAAATTCTGTCTAAATCCTTCATCGGTTTTGTGACACATGCATTCAGTCAGAGTACACTCCCAAAATGTGTAATAATAATTATGGAGGTGCCATCATAAAGCTTTCCAAATGTATCATTTAAAATGTCAAATTCATTTTCCATTACAAGTATGTATACGCTTACCTTCACCCGTGGACTCCATCCTAGATGCTGTGTTGACTGTGTCTCCAAACAGACAGTATCGCGGCATCTTCAGCCCCACTACACCAGCAGCACAGGGACCTGCAACATCGTCGAGAACAGATTGCAGTTCCAGTCAGAAACACCTGACACTTGGCCCTACACATCATTCCACATTGGATTCACGTGGGTTCAGGCCAATAGGTTACCAGACCTTTAGAAGATTTCCATGTAATGTTTATGCTGTTACTGTTTTTTCTTTGACAAATAACTTTGGCATACTATATCTTCCTATATCCAAAATGTCCTTATCAATGTAAGACACTAGAAGATACCAGAAAGAAGATGGATTATGTAAAGATCTTATGTGATGGACACCATTGTATCATTACATTACCCTGTTGGTAGAGGTTAACGTGCTTAAACGAAACGTTACATAGGGTAAGAAGGGTGTAACTTAGTTGAGGAGATGCAGCTTAGTTTTTCTTCAGCTTTTTTACGACATGAATACTCCAAAACATAATTTATTAGTGCAAACAACAAATCATTGGTACAAACAAACAACGCTTTCAAAACTGAAACGATACCCTTTGGTAAATGATGTTAACCTTATGGTACAAGATGGGTGATGTGCTTATCAATTGGTTAAAGCTTTTTGTCAAACATGAAGTTTATAAGGTAGAAAGCGTAAGCTATTGTTATAGTTAGGGAATTTGAGAAGTACAGTGGTGTGGGAGCCAAGTGGTTTAAGCGATCTCTCGTTACGGGCTCGATGTCTGGTGTCCACTGCCGTGATATCGCTGGAATAATGCTAAAGCCATAACTAGTCAATCATATCTGGTAAAAGAGAACACTATGCAATATTCTACATCCAAATAAAAGCGACAGAACCCTTTCCATGTACGAGTCAAATGTACGATTCCGACCATATCATGAGCATGTGTTTATTAATCACTATCAAATAGTGATGACACTAGGTGTTCGCGAAAACATCCTGCCTCAAAGGTGGCACCCATCATAAACACATGCAATGGCAAGTAAAGTGGCCACCTGAAAAGACACGGGAGAAGACACACTAGGGAAGTGCATCGGACATTATTTTGGTCACTGATTCGTCTATTTGGATATGGCCTCCGCAAAGTTTGTAAAAAGCTTTACTGAGGCCTTGAAAGTTGTAACCCTGATAAAACAACTTCGAGTTGTATGACTCTCTTTGAAATCGTCGTAGAAAGAGCATGAAATGTAATCACCAAAGACTGGAGCTGCTGGAATACTGATTGACGTAAAGGGAAAGCCAAACCCACTCTGTTAGTTCTGGTACAACGTTCTACATCCAACTATTGGGATGAGTCACCTGTGTGTATCCCGATCCTGACGTTCAGTTTGTCCTGAGGTCTGTGTCTGAAAACGAAGGTCTCTACCCCCGACAACAGCGCCAGTGCCAGCCTACAGATCTCCACAGCATGACGTTGGCCGTTCCGGATCGGGACCCCTGACACAACCATGTAGGCATCGCCGATTGTTTCCACCTGGGGAGAAGAACCATTACGTGTGATGGTGAGACAGATTCAATACATGATGCATGGCGAGACTTTATCTGCCTTGTGTGAGATGAGGTAACATTGTACAATATTCGGGGTCTTGTCATAAATAAGATGATGATCATGCCCATAGCCCGACAATATATCGATTCTATAATAGAATACTAATTATCTAAGGTTGAATAGTTTCGCTTTATTTCCATAATATGGTCACGTATAACAGGGCAAAATGAATATCAACAATGCTATAAAATTGGTTCGGTTTTCTTTGACGATTTATGTTTTCGACTGACCTTGTAGACGTCGAAGTTGTCAATGACGCTGTCAAACAAGGAGTAGAGGTCACTCAGGAAGGTCACAACCTGTAAAACATTGCGGATATAAACATTAAGTCTAGGATCCAAATTATGAGAAAGGTAAGAGTAATGTTTCGGGTTGTAGTAAACAGTGTCTCGGATTGTCGTAAGCACTGTCTTGTACTGTAGTAAGCAGTGTCTCGGATTGTCGTAAGCACTGTCTTGTACTGTGGTAAGTAACTGCTGTAGTATTGAAACGTTGGTACGCAAGTGACAGTTACCCACATGTTTGCCACTATTATACCCGATGATTATCATTTCCTTTGGGCTTCGATGTTAAAAGTTATTTGCTTCCTGGGGGCTTTCGCAACTTTCGCGTTTAAACCACTCAGGAAATAATGGTATGTAGTCTGCCCCCGCAGCAAATTATTTGATAACAGAAATATTTGACAAGAGTCAGTTAGCGTGAGTGGGTGTATTTAGTCGGTAATATCACCGCTATACAAAGTCTGCCAGGAAAGTGTAACTATACAACTGGTCGACGGTGTAAGCATCATTCAACGACATCAACTACGATAATAAACTTAATCATCTCGTCGCGACAAAGCCTCCAAAAACATAGTCGACTGTACGATTCCGACTATACCATGAGCATGTGTTTATGAATCACTATCAAATAGTGATGACACCAGGTGTTCGCGAAGTCGCATGTTGTAACCACTTCATCATGAGTTGGACACGGGAAATCAGACTCACCTCCATTGGAGTACTCTCTGAGCACATGGACGTGAAGCCAACAACATCACTGAAGAAGATGCTGACGCTCTCATACGTCTCTGGGACAACAGACTTCCCTTGCTTGAGTTGCTCAGCAACCGACCTGTCAATCAAACCAACGAATAAGAAGCTTTGTAACGTTTGGGCCATCAGAAGAAAATGTGTATTACGTGATTCGACAATTTGATGACCAATGCCTTGTACAAGAGGTCTATGTTTATACGATGTGTGACAACGACGTTTCATGGAAATGACAATGCAGCCAAACTGAAATGCAATGAATGCAACCGAAAATGATCAATAAAGAAGGAGTACACAGGGACCAAGCTTTTACTTCGAAACAAACGTTCCACACATAAAAGTTCGACATAACGGTGTTTGACTATAGTTGAATATACATGTTGGCACGACCAGGTGAACGCCGACCTACCTTGGAAGGATCTGGTAGAGGAGTGCTTCCGACTTCTTCTTCTCGGCGATGAGTTGCTGGGTCCTCTCCTCCACGATGTCCTCCAGATTGGAGGCGTAGTCCTCGAGGCGGTGGATCAACGCCTCGACGATGTTGTCAGTCTTGGACCTGGAGTCAACAATATACATGCGTGACTGTTGTCAGTCCAAGACCTGGAGTCAACAATATACATGCGTGACTGTTGTCAGTCTTAGATCTGTAGTCAAAAATATATAGGCGTAACAGTTGTCAGTCTCAGACCTAGAGTCAACAATATATACGCGTGACAGTTGTCAGTCCAAGACCTGGAGTCAACAATATACATGCGTGACTGTTGTCAGTCTTAGATCTGGAGTCAAAATATATAGGCGTAATAGTTGTCAGTCTCAGACCTAGAGTCAACAATATATACGCGTGACAGTTGTCAGTCTTAGATCTGTAGTCAAAAATAGATAGGCGTAACAGTTGTCAGTCTTAGACCTGGAGTCAACAATATACAGGCATAACAATTGTCAGTCTTAAACCTGGAGTCAACAATATACAGGCATGTAGGCGTCAACATTGTATAAGACAGGTCAACAGTCAGCGTATCAATCCAGTATCAGGTATGGAGAGTGTATACACTTAAATTACAAAAGAACGAGGATAAGCTATTTTTTCAGGTTTTGCAAATTTGCACTAATGGGGTATATACGCTCATCGGTTCGCGAAAACCTGGCATCGTCACTATTTGATAGTGATTCATAAATACATGTTCACGGTACAGTTGGAATCGAGCAATGGCGCTTTATTATGAATATAAAAAGGGTTTGGTGGAGTTTATTTGATGAACGAAACGTCTGTAAAATCTTTTCTTACCCTTGTAGAGTTCGGAGTGTTTTGGCTATTGCGTCGAAGTTGGGTCTGTCCTCTGGGTTCTCCACCCAACAGTGATGCATAAGTTCATGAACCCCCTTGGGACCAAACGCCTGGTTCACTTTGGGACGGAAAGGTGGGTTATCGTGGCTCGCGACGCGCTCCACTATATCTGGAATGTACATGACCTCAAACCTCAACATAGAAATGGGAAACGATGTTCGGATAAGAATTTGATAAAATTAAGATGGTGTGTGTGTGTGTGTGTGTGTGTGTGTGTGTGTGTGTGTGTGTGTGTGTGTGTGCGTGTGTGTGTGTGTGTGTGTGTGTGTGTGTGTGTGTGTGTGTGTGTGTGTGTGTGTGTGTGTGTGTGTGTGTGTGTGTGTGTGTGTGTGTGTGTGTGTGTGTTTTATCTCTATGCATTATTTATATGTCCATATACCCATACATCATTCTTCACCATCACCTCAGGGGGAATAATCCGTGTAATGTTTATTTCGGCTATGGGTTCGCCTCAAAGGTTACAATAGTTGGAACAAGATAAAAATACATGTCCTTTGTTGAACATGGGAATTAAATGTATTTGTACACCTACGGAAATGTCTCATTGAAAGAATTTAATATATAGAAGTTATTTCTTATGTGAATCATTCCTTTTTTGTGCTGTGTCAAACGTGAAATACATTGTAAAACATATATGAATCAATGCTAAAACTGTGAATAAATGTTTTATACTCAACTCAAGGTTCAATCAGTGCACCAAGTCATGGCAGTAAACCATGCTCAGTGTAAGGTAGAAATTGTAATTGATGGTCAGTGAGTGAATGACTTGGGATTAATACCCCTCTGAACCTGTGGGATTTCAATTATATGTCATCTTTATGTGAGAGGAAAGCCAAATGTGGCATGGTCACTGTAGTATTTCAACATAAATGGGTATTTCGGTTTCTGCCAGCTAGGAAAGGTTATGTTGTATTGTCCGTATTTTATGTATTGCCCGGGTGTACAGGATGTAACATGCGAGCATGCGCAGTGGCCTGTACTTTAGGTTCGACAACACCAAATTAGAACCAGTTGTGACTGTGCCGTTTTCGTAGTGCAGAACGAGAGATATCTGCAGGCTGTGATTGGATGATATTGTGTAAGATTTTTATCTCTTTTAGATGTACATCCATCCAGTTATTAAAACTGACCATGTTGTTGTATATTGTGTACTGTCTTTTTCAACATGATGACTTATGCTGGATGTGACCACAGATATTTTCAAGTAGGTGACATTTGGTGCGGAACTGGGGGTGGCTGGTTTCGCTTCCTGAGCTCGGAAAAGGAGCTGGCTGAGCTAGTCATTTTTTTTTAATGCTGCTCGAAGGCCACACTGTGCACACATTGACAGGTAATAGCTTTTGAATGCTTAATTAGTATTATTTTAAATATAACGTTACTATAGAACTCTATTAGAAAACATTTGTTTGTGTGTAACCTGTAATGCGGCAGAATGAAACAGTCGGAAAACATGGAGTTTTGTTGTGTGATTTCTCTGAAGTTAAATCTGTGCCAGCCAGACAGTACAGTCACGTTTATGGGACCCGCGATCATGTGTATGTAGCAGACAAATCAAGGATCATATTCAGCGTGAATTTGGGATTAGAAACTATGACAGCGGATCCTAACCCAGCTTTGGGATATTACTCTGCACAGTGAATTGTGACACCTTGGGCCTTTCACCCAGAGGAGACCTATAAAGATAATAGCGGTTGTTGGATTCATATATATATGGCTGGATGTGTCACTACACTGATGAGTGACCTTCACCCAGTGATGTGGTAACATCCTGACGTCATATTTACACATACTGACCAAAGCATTGCCTTAATGTCCCAAGACACGCTGACTTAAATTAAACTATGAGCCAAACACCATCAGAACCAAGCCCTCAGTCCCAACACTAATTCTGTTTGATTCCTCACCTTGCGGATCCATAATTCCTCTGTACGTGTCATAGGGGGCAGACCGAACAATCATCTCCTCCAGGATGATGCCAAAACTGTAGACGTCCCCCTTTTGGGTTCCCCCCTCGTCCATCAGGTGCTCGGGCGCCACCCACAGCATCTCTAATGTACGCAAACACAGCCAATGAGTGAATAGTATGACGTCATTACGAGGAAACAAATGGTTGATATTGTGAACACTAGTAATATTTTGTTGGTCTGTCCCACGTTTACCATTTTTCAGTATCTATACGTGTACTTCGTTATGTTTTTATGACAAAATACGTTACGAATAGTATTAGACCGCCTCCATGCATGGTCAAGCGGATAAAGCGTCTACTCGGAAAGCGGAAGGTTGGTGGTTCGTTCCCCTGGAAGGGTCATACCAAACGATGTTAAAATGTGGTACTTTTGTTACCCTGTCTGGCGCTCGGCATGAAAGGGCTAAAACAAGGACTGGTCTGCCCGGGGTCGGTATACTGTGTCTGAGATGGGTATTAATGTTAAACTGCATCACGGTGTCTGAGCAGGCTTGCACTATAAAAGCGGCATAAGTACTGAATAGAACAAGCAATCCCCCCCCCCCCCCCCCCCCCCCCTCCCAACACACGCACACTGCATGCACTTCACTAACTTTGAACTCGGCGTTAAATGTCAGTTTGCCTCACCTCACCTCACCTCACCTCACCTCACCTCACCTCACCTCACCTCACCTCACCTCACCTCACCTCATCCCTCAAGAACTATACTAGTTTTCAAGCGGTGAACTACAATAGTGGATAAAATATTCGCTCGTCACACCGAAGACCAGGGTTCGATTCTATACATGTGTACAATGTGTGTGAAGTCCATTCTTGGGCTCGCATTCATAGCGGGTATTTCGACTCACTCTCAAACTTGGCGTGTGTGTTGCCCTCGAGCTCTCCGCTCTTGTTCGCCCGGAGACTGTGTAGGCCGAAGTCGGTGACCTTGAGGGAGAACTTGCCGTCCACCACGCAGTTCGACGACCTGAGGCTGCCATGGCAACGGACTTCAGATTTATGCAAGTACGCCATACCCTGTGTGAAATTATTTATGATTACAATACTATTACTTCTTTACATTCAGTGTATTCAAAAAGTAATAACCCAAAACATTCCGTGTACACGATGCCATCTTACCGAGGGAAGAAAGTAAACTGACTAGGCTGACTAGGCTGGTATTCCTGGGCTCGATCGTAGTGCCACAAGTGGCTATTACGAGTTATGTCCCTTCTATGTCTCTCCTATTGACCAATCAGATTGCACCTCTCGTATCACTTGCATTTGCTTCAAACTAAATGGCGGCGCCCAGTCAAGACGATCTGATCGGTAATCAAGATCTATTATGTGATAAAACGGGTCTTACATCGCGAAGTGCATCAAATCAAGTGAGCACCTTGATTAAAAATATAAAAAGATTTGGAAAACATCTGTTGACAACGAGTTGGCAGTGCAAATGATTTGCAAATCCTACAATCGACCGAAATCTGCACAACAGTTTAAGAACCGGATTTCAATTTCGTTGCACGATTGTGATTGGACTTTGCATAGACTCGTTAGTCCAGCCAAAATGTAACTCCATAATACCAGCCTAGTTCGGCAAAGTTGGGAACTGGACTTTATCGTCAGTTAACTCTCTTGCCTCGGGAAGATGACACTAAGGCATAAAACGTTCGATCTGAACATTATGTGTTCTTATACCTTCTATTAAAGTGGGGATTGTTTCCCATAAATCTACCCTTACAATTAACTTCTTAGAAGAGAGGGCCTATGATCTCTTAACCTACCCTCGCAATGCAGATCTGAGTAAAGGGAGCCACTGTGTTAAGCAATGTGACTTAAGTGACAGAAATCTATAATCGACGTTATCATCATCGTCGTCAATCGTATTACTTTGACTACAATTGTTTATGCTGTAGTTGTTGTTGTTGTTGATATTTAAACCCACCCTGCCAATATCTCTGACAAAGAGACCCTATATGTTAACCTTTCCTGACAATATCTCTGACCAGAGAACCTATATGTTAACCTTCCCTGACAATATCTCTGACCAGAGATCCTATATGTTAACCTTTCCTGACAATATCTGACCAGAGACCCTATATGTTAACCTTCCCTGACAATATATCTGACCAGAGACCCTATATGTTAATCTTCCCTGACAATATCTCTGACAAGAGAAGGAGGTATGTGAACCTACCCTTGCAATATCTGACAAGAGACCCTATATGTTAACCTTCCCTGGCAATATCTCTGACCAGAGACCCTATATGTTAACCTTCCCTGACAATATCTCTGACCAGAGACCCTATATGTTAACCTTCCCTGACAATATCTCTGACCAGAGAAATATGTTAACCTTCCCTGACAATATCTCTGACAAGAGACCCTATATGTTAACCTTCCCTGGCAATATCTCTGACCAGATACCATATATGTTAACCTTCCCTGACAATATCTCTGACAAGAGAAGGAGGTATGTGAACCTACATGTACCCTTGCAATATCTCTGACAAGAGACCCTATATGTTAACCTTCCCTTGCAATATCTCTGACCAGAGACCCTATATGTTAACCTTCCCTGACAATAGCTCTGACCAGAGACCCTATATGTTAACCTTCCCTGACAATATCTCTGACAAGAGACCCAATATGTTAACCTTCCCTGACAATATATCTGACCAGAGACCATATATGTTAACCTTCCCTGACAATATCTCTGACCAGTGAAGGAGGTATGTGAACCTACCCTGGCAATATCTCTGACCAGAGACCCTATATGTTAATCTACCCTGGCAATATCTCTGACCAGAGACCCTATATGTTAATCTTCCCTGACAATATCTCTGACAAGAGACCCAAATGTTAACCTTCCCTGACAATATCTCCGACCAGAGACCCTATATGTTAACCTACCCTGGCAATATCTCTGACCAGAGACCCTATATGTTAACCTTTCCTGACAATATCTCCGACCAGAGACCCTATATGTTAACCTTCCCTGACAACATCTCTGACCAGAGACCCTATATGTTAACCTTCCCTGACAATATCTCTGACCAGAGACCCTATATGTTAACCTTCCCTGACAATATCTCCGACCAGAGACCCTATATGTAAACTTTCCCTGACAATATCTCTGACCAGAGACCCTATATGTTAACCTTCCCTGACAATATCTCTGTCCAGAGACCCTATATGTTAACCATCCCTGACAATATCTCCGACCAGAGACCCTATATGTAAACCTTCCCTGACAATACCTCTGACCAGAGATATTGTATGTTAACCTTCCCTGACAATATCTCTGACCAGAGACCCTATATGTTAACCTTCCCTGACAATATCTCTGACCAGAGACCCTATATGTTAACCTTCCCTGACAATATCTCTGACCAGAGACCCTATATGTTAACCTTCCCTGACAATATCTCCGACCAGAGACCCTATATGTTAACCTTCCCTGACAATATCTCTGACCAGAGACCCTATATGTTAACCTTCCCTGACAATATCTCTGACCAGAGACCCTATATGTTAACCATCCCTGACAATATCTCCGACCAGAGACCCTATATGTTAACCTTCCCTGACAATATCTCTGACCAGAGACCCTATATGTTAACCTTCCCTGACAATATCTCTGACCAGAGACCCTATATGATAACCTTCCCTGACAATATCTCTGAGCGGAGACCCTATATGTAAACCTACCCAGGCAATATGTCTGACCCTCGGTATATCTCTGAGCGGAGACCCTATATGTAAACCTACCCTGGCAATATCTCTGAGCAGAGACCCTATATGTAAACCTACCCTGGCAATATCTCTGAGCGGAGACCCTATATGTAAACCTACCCTGGCAATATCTCTGAGTAGAGAGAGCCTGAAGGTCCAGTCCAGCTTGATATTGTCGTTCTGCAGTACGTCCTGGAATACATCACACCATCTCCTTATTATAAAGTGTACAATCTGTCGCCGTATACATAGCGATGCAAAACTCTTGGATGTACGTACAGCGAAACCTCGTTAATTCGAACTCTGTTAAATCGACATATCGTTTAAACCAATGTGACCTGGTTCCGGTGGAATAAGTATCGACAATCATTATTGGCGCCCCGCTTGTACCGAACAACGAATAAGGCCATATACGTTCGATGGGTACATGTCTTCGAGTTAACGAGGCTTTACTGTAATTCAAGACAAGTGTATTTTTAATATATACCACTGTACATCTTTATGACATCAACCCTGAATGCGGGTTATATTTAGTATGGTTCAACACTCGTTACTACCACGTTAAGAAATACAAAACCTCAACGACAGAGAATAACCAGTCTCAATTATCCGACGAAACAGATGCCGTTGGCTGTGAGAAAAGACATGAATAAAATGAAGAAGGGAAAGTCTTCTTGCAGGTTACGGGAATTGGCGAGTAGTGCCGAATGAAGTACCTGCAGGCTGCCTTTGTTACAGTACTCCGTCAGGAGGTAGTTTTTGCTGGGCTCAATAACTGCTCCCACAAATCTCGTCAAGTTCTCGTGTTGCAAATCTCGCACCTGACAATAATGGAAGGAAACAGGTTACAGGTAAAAATGTACATATCCCTACCCGTTGACCCATCAGGAGAGGTAGGAAATATGTGAATACTTATGTCGTTCACAGATAAGACCTTGTAGGTGGTCGAAATAGAAATTGTAACTATTCAACCTCCAGATTACTACTCTACTAATGAATGAAAAACAAACAAGTTTTAACAGGCGAAGATACTGAAAGATGATTAATATTGTTTTGTTTCTTAAAATGAAGTTGTGTATACATATTGTTTAACATTTCTTACGATACAATCTCGTGGATTTTTTTTCTAATTTCATTATGTTTTGACTTTCCTAAACCATCTATAAAAATATAAGGCCTAATACATATCGCATTGTTTTGGGGGACAACGTCACCTGCTTGAACTCCATCAACACGTTCCTGGTGAGGTCAATCTTGTCACACTCAACTTTCTTCACAGCAACAGTTTCGCCCTGGTGTATCAAATAAAGTCAGTTTCGTCAGGGATATATGGGTGTTTATGAAATTATTTAAAACGTGAATATCTGATTATAAATATTAGAAGCAAGAAAACGTCTACCTGTCAAAAATAATTATATAAAATATCAATTTATCAAAATGCCAAGGGAATAACGGTATTCCTAATGCGTGCTAGAATGACGCAACTGGTTGTTGTCTGCTTACAATAGGCATACGTGTACATGTCAACATCACAGTAACAATAAGATCATACTCATATTGTAAATCCTTGCTTTATCTTAACGTTGTATATCCATAGCACAACCTTATCTTGTAAACCGGTGCATTATCCGAACTTTGTATATCGATGTCACCTCGTCTTGTAAATGTGTGCATTATCCTAACTTTGTAAATCCATATCACAACCTCAGCTTGTAAATCCGTGCCTTATTCTGACCCTGTATATCCATGTCACAATCCTGTTTTGTAAATGAGTGATTTATCCTAACCTAGTAATGCATATCACAACCTCGTCTTGTAAATGCGTGCATTATCCTAACTTTGTATATCCATGTCACAACCTCATCTTGTAAATCCGTGCCTTAATCCAACTTTGTATATCAAAAATGTCAAAAAGACTTCGTTCATCCCTGCCACTTCCCATAGTGTATTTTCCTTTAGCGTCATCATTTTGTATGCCCCTGCCATAGGTTCACCGTATATATTCCAAAAAAGCATCACCATGTATGTTTCTACGATAACCTCATAGTGTATATCTATATCATCGCCTCATCTTGTATAGTCCTATTAGACTCGCCTTCTATTCTCCCATTATGGCCTCACCTTATATACTCCGACCATATTATCACCTTATATACTCATACCATAGCCTCACCTTATATACTCCGACCATATTATCACCTTATATACTCATACCATAGCCTCACCTTATATACTCCGACCATATTCTCACTTTATATACTCCTACCATATTCTCTCCTCATATACTCCTACCACATTCTCACCTTATATACTCCTACCATAGCCTAACCTTATATACTCAGACCATATTCTCACCTCATCTACTCCTACCGTATTCTCTCACATTATATACTTCGACCATATTCTCACCTTTTATTAGGCCTCAAAGTGAGATTGACCAATCAGAGAGCAGAACTACTGACCCCACATGAGCCCGTATACCATCAGTAAAAATCCAAGATGGTTGACACTGACCTAATATGAGACCGTATACCGTCAGTAACACCTATATTTTCCTACACCCACCTCACATATTTCACACGGAAATGCTGGTACCGATATTCGTTATTTGACACTGTTTTGTGTTTTACTATCATTAATTGTGATGTGCAAGGACATTAATCTGTTTTTTAGATCAAATTCGTGACATTATTGATATAGATTATACCTAAAATTTTCAACACGGTTTGGCCTCTAAGGTTTGAAGAGTTGTCTCCCTTTGACATCAGCAATGGCTGTCAAACGCTTTGTTAGTAGCACCGATGAGATCTCTGATAAAATTCAAAATGTGCGATATTGACACCAGAAAGTGTAAACTTTTCGGCATAATAAATTCGTTATGGCGTCTTTAGTTGCCGTATACGGTGTCATATTAGGTCAGCAGAAAAATATTGGGCTCTGCTGAAGCCTCGCCCAATATTTTTCGGCTAACTTAATATGACACCGTATACGGCAACTAAAGACACCATAACTAATAATATATTCCTACAATAGCCTCACCTCATATATAGCTATTTTGGCCTCATCTTATATACTCCGACCATATTCTCACCGTTTATGCAACTCCCGTATTCTCACCTTATATACTCCAATCTTGGCGAAGCACTGCTCACCCACGTCGTCACTATTGTTGCCGCTGTTGTCCCCCAACCAGGCCTAGCAATAAACAGGTAACACAATGTGTAGTGATGGGGGATGCCGTGGGTAATGGGGGATGGGGTGGATGTTAAAAATAACTTTCAACAAGTTATTGTAATAACGACATATGATATTTGTGCATACAATTGATTTTACAGCACATCATATCTCTGCAATACGAATTTCGTCAAAACAAAGACAAATAATATTTGCATGATTATCATATTACTAACGACATATATACGCTTATCATCGTAATAATAACAAAAATAGCTGCTGCAGTCATGGATGTATATTTAAGAAGTTAGTGCATGTATTTCTTACAGTCAATATGTAAAATCAGTCAATGTGTAAAATGACTGAAATTTACACTTTGGTAATTTACAAGATGCCAAAATATTTCAGTCAATTTACAATTATTTTCCCGTCAGATTAACTAAAAGTTATGAAGAAGTTCTAAAGGTCGTAAAAACATCACATCGGACTAATTATGCTAGGATTAAAATTATACAATGACTTTCGATTTCTTTTAATTATATCTTTTCAATCTGTTGGTGGCTAATCTCATTAAAATCAGATCTTAGTTCTCGCTACGGCTAAACAAAGATCTGAGGACATGCCATTACGGGTCACGTCAGACCGACCTTGCGCGAACTTTGACCGACCAATGGAAAATACCAATCAGAAGGCATCTTTCTCGTGCTTTACGGCACTAATTTCAAATTGGCGACTACGCTTCGAAACATATTTTGACAAATTCTCGATTACAAATTTGAAACCTGAACAAAAAAAACATTCTGGAATGGCTAATAGATGGTCTAGAGTGTATGGATTCAGTCGTTAAACCCGTAACTGTCGTTCGGAATATCCCGTTTTAAAGTTTTCGAGGTTGCATGATTAGAAATCACATTGCGACTGTCACTTTCATAATCTGGAAAGCGACGCTCTGATTGGTCGGAGGAAAGGTCGTTCTGACGTGACCCCTAATGTGATGTCTTTAGATCTTTGTTTAGCGGTAGCGAGAACTAAGGTCTGATTTTAATGAGATTGGTTGGTGGCGTAGTGAGGCACATCTTTGAAACTCGTTATCCTGATATTAGAAAGAGAAAAATAATAGTGACACAACTGGAATATTTTTGCGTTTTGGGAAATTGCCTACGTGAAAATTTCAGTCAGTTTACACATTGACTGTACTGTGTTTCTGGCGATGAAGAACAGGGCTTCGCTGTGTTTCTAGTGATAAAGAACAGGTTTCATTGTGTTACTAGCGATAAAGAACGGGGCTTCGCTGTGTTTCTAGCGATAAAGAACAGGTTTCATTGTGTTACTAGCGATAAAGAACGGGGCTTCGCTGTGTTTCTGGCGATGAAGAACAGGGTTTCCCTGTGTTTCTAGCGATAAAGAACAGGTTTCATTGTGTTACTGTCGATAAAGAACAGGTTTCATTGTGTTACTGTCGATAAAGAACGGGGCTTCGCTGTGTTTCTAGCGATAAACACAGGGTTTCATTGTGTTTCTAGCGATAAAGAACAGGTTTCATTGTGTTACTGTCGATAAAGAACGGGGCTTCGCTGTGTTTCTAGCGATAAACACAGGGTTTCATTGTGTTTCTAGCGATAAAGAACAGGTTTCATTGTGTTACTGTCGATAAAGAACGGGGCTTCGCTGTGTTTCTAGCGATAAACATAGGGTTTCTCTGTGTTTCTAGCGATAAAGCACAGGGTTTCATTGTGTTACTAGCGATAAAGAACTGGGCTTCGCTGTGTTTCTAGCGATAAACACAGGGTTTCATTGTGTTTCTGGCGATAAAGAACAGGGTTTCACTGTTGTTTGGATGATAAAGAATGGGGTTTCACAGTTGTTTGGGTGATAAAGGACGGAGTTTAACAGGTTTATTTGGTGATAATAAACTTACGATTGAGGTCTTGCTGAAACGCTGGCTGTCGTTGGCCTTGCTGCGGAATATGATGTCGCTGAGGCTGACGCGCCATGACATGTCCTTCAGATCACGTTCCCATCGCACCCGTCTTTGGATAATAAATAATGTCATCAAATCACAGCATTTTTATCGAGGCCCGTGAAGATCCGGGGTTGAATGGGTCTTCAACATCCAATGCTTGCCGTGAAAGGCGACTATGCTTGTCGTAAGAGGCGACTAACGGGATCGGGTGGTCAGACTCGCTGATTTGGTTGATGCATGTCATCGTATCCCAATTGCGTGGATCGATGCTCATGTTGTCAATCACGGGATTGTCTGGTCCAGACGCGATTACTTACAGACAGCCGTCATATAGCTGGAATATTGCTGAGTGCGGCGTTAAACAACAAACAAACATTTTTATTGAAATGAGTTAGTGAGATGGGTTCGACGCCGCCTTGAACAGTATTTCAGTTATTTATTTCAACATTGGCGTAAATCTCAATAATGCGGATTCGATTTTATTTTTGTATATATTTTTTATTTTTAAACGAGGAGGGTACGGGTGGTCTGACGCGTAATGATCCCAGATTGGTTTCAATTATGACCAATTACACATGTCTGTAAATTGAGAATCTACACTAAACCAGCGCTGTGACAGAGCTGCGCAGTGACGTGCGTAAGTGCCTTGTATTTTAACAAAACATTTGGGCAGCGCTTCAATGCAGCTAACTTGCCGATTATCTGATAAAGGCGAAATTTGTTAAAGAAATATAAAACATAAGATATCACTTGAATAGACGTAATTTTCCAGATCTCAAATGTGCAAAATGATTTAATATTAATTAAAGAAAATAACTAATTGATTCCTATGTTAGGAGATGCCTCTACTATTATGAGGGAAACCTTGACAACCAATTTGTGGGAGAAGATATTGACCGTGGAAAAGAAACGTTGGTACATATGTACCTATACCTGAGACAAATACAACCGCAAAAAGAGAGAGTGTTTTGGAGGCACAATATCCTACAGAGAAGGATGCAATATGGAGAATGCTATCGTCTTGTGAAAGAACCCGACCTAGAGAGCACTCGCTTCACCCAATAACTCAGGATGTCTAAGAATTATTTGTCATTTCGGCGTCACTGGCATACAGACACGGATGTCTGTACTTCAAGAAGCAGTCATTCTTTGTTTATTTGTGATTTTAACATCGATTTCTTTTCTTGAATAAAGTCTGTATTTGTCTGACCATGTGTTTTATTTTCATCCGAAAATGACATCATAAAAAGCATCCGGGCAGCAAGCAGTGCAAATGGCTTTTTTCTTTGATTAAAAAATATTACAGACGTCGCGCTGTCGCTGCGCTGCGTTAATTAAGGTTGATTATCTATAAACAACTAGAACGGTTCTGTGTTGCAACGCGCTGCGCTATCAGCTTAAGTAACAGTGAAATTTTATTACTCGATAAATTTAATGTTATCTTTTGACGACATGGTAGAGACAATTAGCGTTGTAGTGTGGAATTTAATCACTTGTTGAAGACTGAAAAAGCTCCATGACATCCACTTAACTCGAGGAGACACACCCAACCACTGTAAGTAAAATCTGGAGTTTCTTTTTTTAACTTATTATTGGCTTTACAAAATTCACCTAATTCATCTAATCTGCTCATGTTTAGAAAACAGAACATCAATGGTATTTCAAGACGTCACTATCACTGAGACAGCCAATGCAGCTATGGTCAAATGTAATGGGTAAGAGAATATCGCCTTAAATAGTATTTTAGTTTTATAGTAGACGTGTTGGACGATTTGACGCATCACTGACAAAAGAAATGTCTCATGCAATTCCCTATTTTTCAGATGAACAATTGACTTGCCTTTACATGTGTTTGTGACGGGTGCCACAAGTGGGGCAGGATACGCTACTCTTTTCGCGAACACCTGGTATCGTTATTATTTGCCATTGTTTGAATTGGTTAACATCATAAATCTCGATACTGCTTTTTTGCGTAACTCAGCTGAACGTCCGTAAATTGATAAAAAAAAAAGGATAAATATGTATGATAAATATCATACGCCACAACACTGTTACGCCTGCCAATACATTTGACGTATAATTGTGGAAAATTAGGCCCTATATTCATGTGACTGCAATTAGCCCTCCCAAATATAAACTGCTATCGTTTATAAATGTTTGTACACTGTGTCCGACACTATCATCAAACAAAAGTATATCTCCAATAGCATGAAAATGTCACAAATATTCAATATTTGCATATTGACCGAAGTGCTTCACGGTATTGAGAATACATGCCAAAGTTAATAGTCCACCTTAGAGTGGCTCTTAATAACACACCATTTCGCAAAGCAAAACATTGCGCATCATTAGCCATTCGTTATAGTGACCCATCTTTCGATCACAACGACATACGATAATACGACCAATAATTGTATTTGGGACAATAGTAGTATATTCCAATAATTAATGACAATGTTTGCCGTGAATTTGATGGGAAAACATGATCGAGTCACGTTGCTTCCACACAGCCTGGGCGTGGCTGGGAGGCAATATGATATATCGTAGCTTGCAAACGTCTGAACGCATTCGTGGACAATACGTGTTTTGTTTAATTAAGTGAATCACGCTTCTTATTAACGACAAAAATTTGTAAAATGAACATCTTTCAAATGATCTTCTGATAAAGTGGTCCCAAAGTGATTCCGTTTTTTCCACAGGTCATCATGGTCAACCATTGTTACTACACACTCAGCCAGGTCATGCATTGTTACCACACAAGCATTCTGGTCATGCATTGTTTCTACACAACCATACTGGTCATGCATTTTTACCACACAATCATCCAGGTCATGCATTGTTGCTACACACTCAGCCAGGTCATGCATTGTTACCACACAAGCATTCTGGTCATGCATTGTTTCTACACAACCATACTGGTCATGCATTTTTACCACACAATCATCCAGGTCATGCATTGTTACCACACATTCAGCCAGGTCATGCATTGTTACCACACAAGCATTCTGGTCATGCATTGTTTCTACACAACCATACTGGTCATGCATTTTTACCACACAATCAGCCAGGTCATCCATTGTTTCTACACCATGGTCCAAACCATGCATTGTTACCACACAATCAGCCAGATCATGTATTGTTACCACACAATCATCCAGGTCATGCATTGTTACTACACAATCATCCAGATCATCCATTGTTTTTACACAATCAGCCAGGTCATCCGTTGTTTCTACACAATGGACCAGGCCATACATTGTTACCACACAATCAGCCAGATCATGTATTGTTACCACACAATCAGCCAGGTCATCCATTGTTAGAATACAATCATCCTGGTCATGCATTGTTACCACACAATCAACCAGGTCGTTCATTATTACTACACAATCAGTCAGATCATGCATTGTTATCATACACTCATCCTGGTCATGCATTGTTACCACACGATCAGCCAGGTATTGTATTGTTACCACATAATCATCCTGGTCATACATTGTTACCACACAATCAGCCAAATAATTCATTGTTACCATTCAATCATCTTGGTCGCGCATTGTTACCACATAATCAACCAGGTCATGCATTGATACGACACAATGAGCTTGGTCATGCATTGTTACCACACAATCAACCAGGTCATGCATTGTTACCACACAATCATCCAGGTCATCCATTGTTTCCACACAATCATCCTGGTCATGCATCGTTACCAAACAATCAGCCAGGTCATGCATTGTTACCAAACAATTAGCAAGATCATGCATTGTTACCACACAATCATCCTGGTCATGCATCGTTACCAAACAATCAGCCAGGTCATGCATTGTTACCAAACAATTAGCCAGGTCATGCATTGTTACCAAACAATTAGCAAGATCATGCATTGTTACCACACAATCATCCTGGTCATGCATCGTTACCAAACAATCAGCCAGGTCATGCATTGTTACCAAACATTTAGCAAGATCATGCATTGTTACCACACAATCATCCTGGTCATGCATCGTTACCAAACAATCAGCCAGGTCATGCATTGTTACCAAACAATAAGCCAGATCATGCATTGTTACCACACAATCATCCTGGTCATGCATCGTTACCAAACAATCAGCCAGGTCATGCATTGTTACCAAACAATTAGCCAGATCATGCATTGTTACCATCAATCAGCCAGGTTATCCATTGTTTCTTCACAACCCTCCAGGTCATGCATTGTTACCACACAATCAGCCAGATCATCCTTTGTTACCACACAATCAGCCAGATCATCCTTTGTTACCTCACAATCAGTCGACTCGTTCGTCAAGCATGAGATAATGTCGACCTACACCATCGCAAGATTTCTACGGAGGCTATAAGGTAAGATATGAGTTCATCCGTGATATGACATTGCACCGACAGCATGCAATCGTTTCAACAAGATCCATATCATGATATCCATGATCAATTCTAATTTCTTATGGAGTCATGATTTTATATTATGGAAACCTATAAGGGACATCATTGCGCCGATGTCACTTCTAGAGTCCCTCAGTAATGATAAGTTTATAGCAAAAGAAAACAATGTCTATTTTTTTCATCGGGAATAACAAAATGACAGCAAATGTCTGAATACATCAGAAGTAGTTCTGTCTTTCTATATCGCATGCGATGCAGACACTCTCCAGTCACTCAAACAACCTATATCTACCAGACATATTTTATACTCATGTCTGGAGATAATTTAACGAACATCAGTCGTATATATATATATAACTCAAAGACAAATCTAGCACAATAATTAGGTTTATCAGCTTTGCAAACGAAGTAAATCTCATTAGTTGGCAACTTCGTTCTGTTTCTTTATGTTTATGGTTAATTGGCGATTTTTAATTATGTTTATTTCAGGACATCACCGGCTGACGTCACATGGACGTTTATGGCGAATGTTGTAGACGGAAGACTATTTACGAGTCCGATTATTATTTTTATCATGTTTAGAATAGAAACTGATTAACTGTGGCATTCTGTAAAATCTTTTTCATCTTATTACATATGATATATAAAATTACACATGACAAGATAAATTGTGGGAGGGGACGGGTACTGAAGGCACGCCCCCTGGTTTAGAGCGTCCCAATTCGCTGTGCGGAGTACCATAGGCGTGCCAGAAAACAACTATAGTGACCGAATCCCAGATTTGCCCTGATTATGTTTATAGGTTTGTCAGCACCATACCCGTGCTTGCGGGTTTCATCAATGTGGAAATGTCTAAAACCCTTTTAAGTTTGGGTTTACCCTCCTACTCCAATCTAACACGCCGTGGTGTAACTGAAATATTGTTCAAAGCCGCCTTGAACCAAACTAACTCACTCACTCAACCAGGATTCAAAACTTAATGTTATGATTACAATACATCCTGAATCGTCAAACGCCTAATCCAATGAACGATTTCGACTAGATCAGGACCATGTGTCTATTAATAACTATCAATTAGTGATGCTACCATGTGTCTGCGAAAAGGTAAGCGTATCCTGTCAGTACATTTTTAGCATTTTAACATTCTTACACATAATGTACCTAATGAACCGATGTGTGTATAAACTAATTATGAGTAGGGATCATCCCTTTGAATCATGAAGACGTTCAAAGCTATTTTCACTCGGGCAGGGATTGTTTGTTTGTTAGTTGTTTATTTGTTTGTTTAACACCGCACCCAAAAATATTCCAGCTATATGACGGTGGTCTGTAAATAATCAAGACTGGACCAGACAATCAAGTGATTGACATCACGAGCATCGATCTATGCAATTGGGATACGATGACATGCATCAACCAAGTCAGCGAGCCTGAACACCCAGTCGCCTCATACAAACATGGGTTGCTGAGGACCAATTCTAACCCGGAATCTTCACGGGACCATCCGGACAGGGAGAGTTAGTGGTGGTTCCTGCGGAGTCTGGTCAAATGGAGATCCATTGCAGACGGTGGTCAGAACAAAACAAACTTTGCTCTTTAATAAGACCTTGTTTTGCACAAAATATCAATTGTAAGTTATCGTCTAACAATCATCAGGTTACCATGTATCAACGTAGGCTATCGTAAGTTATATGGGATACTGTCTGTCAACCACGGTGGCTTACCTGTAGATGAAGAAGGTGCCGATGAGGCCGACGATGATTACGCCAAACAGCACCAATACTACAACGACGTAGATGGGCACGCTATCTGTAAGTAAAAAAAATACGTAGATACTCTATTAGGAAGTTCCGTTTGGTCAAAGGTCTGAATTGAGAGATAAACCTTCTGTTATTAATTTGGAGGTTTCAAACGGAGATTGGCACATGTTAATTTCATTTGAAACCGAACGTGTTACCGTGAAGTTTCAAATTGAATAACATTACATTTATCAAATGTGTGAACGCTGGTGAGGTTTTTTTTCAATCAACCAACACAAAGTGTTTTGTGTAATAGTTGAAGAGATAAGAAATTAGTCTAATATTCACAGTAACATGAATGATCAAACTTAAATTGAATGATCAAATGACGATATTTTACGCTACACTCAGATCACTTCAAAGACAATTAAAATCGCCTGGCGCAGATACCCGGTAAGCCTGAGGTAAAGGGTCTTCACAAGAGAATATGAAGTGATAATATTTAGTTCTGAAGTACACACCACTATAATGTTCTGACGTCATAGATTATGACGTCACAGTCAAGCTGTGTTGTTGACACTGAAACAAATTCACTCTCTTAGATGTTGTTCGTTTGGTTCTCTGTCTGGCATATTTTACTACTCTTGTCATGTCTTGACTTGGACTCAGCGGGGTCTTAAGCAAAGTTTGACATGTGAAAGCAGATTTGAATGGCCTCGTTGTCGGGTTTAAGAGAGAATTGTTTCCAAAGAAATATTTTCCCCCGGCGTGATGGTCTGACGGATATGTATCACAGCTAAAGGATCAATCAAAATGCAGAACTCCGAACTGGTATGTGTATTGAACAGCATCGAGAAGATGTAAATGATGTTGTTTCATCGTATAAGTAGCTGAGACTAAATATCAACATATTGGATCTCCGTGTTGATTACTTAGGGCAATGGTTAATGTTTAACAGTGTGTTGAACGCAGTTCCCACTGATCCCGATCGAACTTAGAAAATAGGAAAAGACACACACAACAAATAAAAAAAATGAAGCGGGTAGATCTCAGGCAAATGAATCATAGAAATCAACATCTGAGACATCTGTTACCCAAAGGTAACCGAGTGCTCGTGGCACCGTCATTCCTTGATGAAGGTTAACAATGCTTTGTGTACAAAGGGCATTGATTTCTCTCAGTCTCTCTCAGACTGGTTCGCAGCCACCTTATATTAACATGGTTTGTAAACAGCTGGGCAAAAGAAAGTATACACCCATGTTTGATGGGGGCTAAAAATAAAAAATAATAAATAAAATAAAAAATAGCTATTCGATGGTGATTCATTTGTAACAAGGTACAGATTGAAGCACCGCCCTTGGGTATTTTTGTTGCTAATGTTCATTAAATGTTAAATTCCCTCTGGTTGTTAGATATCTGTTAGGCGGTAACAAATAAACCAATTGGGCCTTTATTGCATATAAATATCTTTTTAAAGTGCAAACGCTGCATTTTATCATGATGGTCTTAAGATTTATGTTCACTTTAATGATAATACAGTAAACTACGGTTATAACGAACTCAAAGGGACTACTATTTTTAGTTCGTTATAACCGTAGTTCGTTATAAGCATATATTCAGCATAACTACAGCAAATAGTCGGGACTAAAAAAGTAAGTTCGTTATATCCGTCAGTTCGTTATAAGCGTGTTCGTTATAACCGTAGTTTACTGAAGGTGGTATCGGATTTAGTTTGTTAAAAGAATCTTGACTTGTTAGCTTTGAGTAGCCGTTTGTTGTGAAATACAACCAAGGCGGTCGTTTACATTTCTACTCTTCCGTCCGCGCCTTGTCGCCCCTCGAGTATAGGCTTATATATATCATCTGAGATATAATTTCCAACTTCAGTTCGTACGGCAGCTTTGGTGCCCCGACGGAAGCTGGTTACGCAACAGGGGGTTGATCCGATGTCTGTCAATCTATGTAGACTGTCGTCGTGGCAATTTTTGCCTGTGTAGATTTTATACCCTGTGTATTAAGATCGGGTCAGCTGTGTGTTAGAACTGTAGTTACTATAAGTGCTGATAACTTAAACCTGTTAAACTTACTCACGTTATGTGGGACCTTACTTATTGCTAACTTAAACCAGTAATGATTTAGCTTGGTTGTTATTGCCTTGTGTTAATAAATCCTTTTACTATCAGTTGGTTTGCCTTTGTCAGTGCGCCTAAATACAATCGGTGTGTCTCTGTATTTATTTTTTGAACTTCACGTGTGTATTCAAAAAACAAACCCGCTCTTCCATAGCTTTTGACAATTACCAGTTGCAGTTGAGGCGTACTCTAGCGTAGGGGGCGTAATCATCAAGTAATCCTTGAGCACCGTGGCATACTAATATCATAGTTGTGTTTTGGAATTTTTAAATTTTCAGTGTTAAGAGTTCAGCCTAGTAACGTGTGATAACGTTTGTAATATTTTGGTCAAATCCAATTTTCAAGTGTCCTTTAGCCCGGCAGTTTATGTGAATTATGATATACTCTTGTTTTCGTGATGTATCATATCATGTCATATTATTCAGGTGTATTTTACAGTATAGAACGTGTTTGTAACATAATATCATGACGTATATAGAGGATTATATACCAGTGTTCATGTCATACTATGTTAACGACACGAGTGTCTAAATTCTGGTATTTAATACCGGAATTTAGGCACGAGTGTCGTAAATATAGTTTGACATGAACACGAATATAATCTATTTATTACCGAAAAAGATATCTACATACAGAGACTGTTTACCTATAAGGACAGTAACAGTCGCAACAGCAGTGGAACCGCAATTTATTGAATGACGTCAACTTCAGCTAAGACGTCGTTTCGAGTGTGACGTCATTCAGACCTCACGCCACAATAAGATTCGAATGACGTCAACAATGCCGCCCGGATGACGGAAATAATACACTGTTGTCTCCTGACGTAATATGACCTAAAGGCACATATGATTTTTATGAACCCGGTGTGTTTGCCCTCGTAGGTAATAGAGAACGGTTATAGCATTGAGTATCTGCAGTATATCACATGTGTATTATATATATCATGACGTAAAGAACATTATATCATATTTTTTGTGCTTTATTTTTGTTGTTTAACGCAATCCTCAGCAATATTTCAGCTTTATGACGGCTAGTGATTGACATCATGAGCATTGGGTCTACGCAATTGGGATACGATGACATGCATCAACCAAGTCGACGAGCCTGACCACCCGATCCTGTTAGTCGCCTCCTCCGACAAGCATGGTCGCCTTTTGCGGCAAGTTTGGTTGCTGGAGACCTGTTCTACCCCGGATCTTCACAGGTACATTATATCATTGAGTATTTTACAGTACAGCACGTGTGTAATACATCATACCATGGGGTATATCACATATCATGAAATATAATACAGCATAGCACGTCACAGTTTTTCAATCAGAATTAAATGTAAAAAAAAAGCAAAAGTGTTTTAAAACAATCCCGGAAGTGAATTACCTAATTGATTGTCGTGCATTTGATAAGTGAGCAATCCGCGAGAGCAGGAAAAATACGCCTCATGTTCAGTCCCGCTTAAATTTGTTCAGCTGCACTCTCACAGGATTCCGCGGAACAAGATAGCAGTGTGAATGACGTTGCTTTCATTAGCGACCGTGTGTCGAAACAAGACCCCGTATCCAACGGAAACAGTCACGTGACTACACCACTTGGTCGTCTTGGACCGGTTACGGGTTTGATTTACGCGTGAACAACTTAAACAGATTGTTCTTCGTTTCACGATTTCACGAGCCTTGTGGGGTCAAGGTGGGTAATGTACCTGATTCTCAGACGTTAAATCGATTAATACAACTCAGGGACTCGCCATTTTCTATTCGGGTAGTCGATAGGAGCTTAAGTTTGTGTTAATGACAGGATATTGTTTCGGAAAATTCTCTTAAATGTGCCAGTATTACAAGGAGGCACTGGACGATGGGTTTTTTTAACAAGCATTTTTCACAAGCTGCGGCAAATATGTGATAAGTCTGTCAAATTAAGGTTCGGGGTAGTCGTAAGGATATAGTCACTTTGTGGGTGAGAGCACTTGTTCTCGTTCCACGGTTCGAGCTCGGTACTAAAGCTATCGTACTGTTTCGTATATTTACGCCAACCGTAGATCTTGTGGATAAGGATGATCTTTTATTGATTCCATACATAGATCTACGACAGTCGTAGGTCTCACACTTTTTCACAGACCTTTATAAGGCGTGTATCTCATGTTATGACAGTTAGCCTGGTATTAATAAGCCATGCATTACAGACAGGCTATCTATGGTAAGCCACACATTATAGACGGGTTATTTGTGATAAGCCCTACATTTCAGACTGGTTATATATGAGAAGTTAAACATTATAGACAAGTTATAAATGATAAGCCATACATTATATGCAGGTTATACATGAAAAGCCACACATTATAAACGGGTGTTGTATAATGATAAGCCATACATTATAGACAGGTTATGTATGATAAGCCATACATTATAGCCAGGTTATGTATGATAAGCCATACATTATAGACAGGTTATATATGATAAGCCATACGTTATAGACAGGTAATACATGATGGTCATAAATTTAAGACAGGTTATATGTTATAAGCCATACATTATAGACAGGTTATAAATGATAATCCATACATTATAGACAGGTTATGTATGATAAGCCATACATTATAGACAGGTTATATATGAAAAGCCATACCTTATAGACAGGTTATATATGATGGTCATAAATTTAAGACAGGTTATATGTGATAAGCCATACATTATAGACAGGTTATATGAGATAAGTCATACATTATAGACAGGTTATGTATGATAAGCCATACATTATAGACAGGTTATATATGATAAGCCATACGTTATAGACAGGTAATACATGATGGTCATAAATTTAAGACAGGTTATATGTTATAAGCCATACATTATAGACAGGTTATAAATGATAATCCATACATTATAGACAGGTTATGTATGATAAGCCATACATTATAGACAGGTTATATATGATAAGCCATACGTTATAGACAGGTTATACATGATGGTCATAAATTTAAGACAGGTTATATGTTATAAGCCATACATTATAGACAGGTTATAATTGATAAGCCATACATTATAGACAGGTTATGTATGATAAGCCATACATTATAGACAGGTTATATATGAAAAGCCATACCTTATAGACAGGTTATATATGATGGTCATAAATTTAAGACAGGTTATATGTGATAAGCCATACATTATAGACAGGTTATATGAGATAAGTCATACATTATAGACAGGTTATGTATGATAAGCCATACATTATAGACAGGTTATATATGATAAGCTATACATTATAGACAGGTTATGTATGATAAGCCATACATTATACGGACTATACTATATCGGGGTCTCATACATTATAGACAGGTTATAAATGATAAGCCATACATTATACGGACTATACTATATCGGGGTCTCATACATTATAGACAGGTTATACATGATAAGCCATACATAATACGGACTATACTATATCGGGGTCTCATACAATGTACAGGAGATGGAAACCTACCTGGGGCAGCACAGACAGGTGCGTCCCCCTTGAAGCCGCACCGGGGGACGTTCGGCGGGGGCAATCCACTCGTCCCAGGCCAGTGGATGTTCATATATTCTACGGGGGTGTATCCAGGCCTGTCTCCCCAATAAATGGCAACAACCTATAGAAATGTGAAATGAAGATATGTAAGTTTTTGGCAAAACACAAGATATATTTGACACGTGGAAAGTGGACTTAAGTAGTCAGTTAGCTCCCTGACCTCAGAAAGATGTATGGATTTCGCATTAATGGGTTAAAACAAAATTGATGTGGGATATTCATGGTGAACTGCGGCATGGTATCTCAGTGGGCTAGCACTTAGTCTATAAAATCGGCAAGTACAAGAAGACACACACACACACACACACACACACACACACACACACACACACACACACACACACACACACACACACACACACACACACACACACACACACACACACACACGTCGCTATAAATATAGATAGGTAGTAAATGTGGATCCTGAGCGGTCACACCACTAGGCTGTCCTGCAGCCCGACTTATTTACAGACTACATGGCGAAATGTTTCAGAATTTTATATTTCTAGTAAGAACAGAGGCTACAGTCGATATGAACGTGTTTGCTGTAGTTTTACCGTTATTCAACAATATTCGACTTATATGCTTTTTAAATATTATTCATCAATATTCAACATTCTACCTTGTTCCTTATCCTCATGTGTTTCTTCTTTATGACTACGTATATTCCAGCAACATCACGGCGTCTCATACTAATCAATCTGAGGGTTTTATTCTATGGTCATGCCTCTCATTGCCCGATCCCCTGATCTCATGTTTAAAAAAATATGCTTTTTATTTCTACTGACTCAGACGTCTTACCTCCAAATATCGTGAAAAGGTCATATAAAAAATATTTTTAAAATGAGAGTTATCGCCCTTTGAATCAATATCACCTCTCACCAGAAGATCACAGTTTTGAAAATGATTCGTTTGAAATGTGTTAATTCTGACAGTCCTATGAACAGAAGCATCTTAGTTCTAGAGATAGAGTGTATATTGGGTAGCACACCTGGAACTCGCCGTTCTGGGGGTTGAGATCAAGAATGGAGAAATCGGTGTCCCGGTCGCCGTTGTCGTCAATGATGACGTCTCCAGTCACACCTAAGAGATCAATCGGGGTCAAACATATAGCTCATTCACACATAAGTATCATTAACACAAGGAGAAATGTAATTCACAGGTTTGTCATTAGTGTCACTAGAGAATTGATTTCAAGTATAAACCGGATGTACACCCAAGGGTGGCGCAGAATGAACATATAATAAACTAGACTCTCGTGGATGGTCCGGAATGGATATATATAATACACTGGACACTCCAGGATGATCTGGAATGGCTATATAATACACTGGACACTCGAGGATGGTCTGGAATTGACATATAAGACACTGGACACTCGAGGATGGTCTGGAATTGATATATAAGACACTGGACACTCGAGGATGGTCTTGGCGGATATCTAATACATTGGACACTCAAGGATGGCCTGGAATTGATATATAATAAACTCGGCGCTCGAGGATTGTCTGGAATGGATATATATAACACACTGGACACTCGAGGGTGGTCTGGAATTTATATATTACACATTTGGCGCTCGAGGATTGTCTGGAATGGATATATATAATACACTGGACACTCCAGGATGGTCTGAATGGATATCTAATACACTGGACACTCGAGGGTGGTCTGGAATTTATATATCACACACTCGGCGCTCGAAGATGGTTTGGAATGGATATATTATACACTCGGCGCTCAAGGATGGTCTAGAATGAATATATAATACACTTGACACTCCAGGATGGTCTGGAATGAATATATAATACACTGGACACTCGAGGATGGTCTGGAATAAATATACATGTATAATACACTTGACACTCGGGGATGGTACGGGATGGATATATATAATACAATTGACACTCGAGGTTGGTCTGGAATAGATATATAATACACTGGACACTCGAAGATGGTCTGAATGGATATATAATACACTGGACACTCGAGGATGGTCTGGGCGGATATCTAATACACTGGACACTCGAGGGTGGTCTGGAATTTATATATTACACACTCGGGGCTCGAAGATGGTTTGGAATGGATATATTATGCACTCGGCGATCGAGGATGATCTGGAATGAATATATAATACACTGGACACTCGAGGATGGTCTAGAATGGATACATAAAACACTTGACACCCGAGGATGGTCTAGGGTGGATATACATGTATAATACACTGGACACCCCAGGATGGTCTGCAATTGATATATGATACACTGGACACTCGAGGATGGTCTGGAATGGATATCTAATACACTGGACACTCGAGGATGGCCTGGAATTGATATATAAGACACTGGACACCCGAGGATGGTCATGTTATATCCCACCTAGGACAGTTTCATTCCACATGGCGCGGGCGATGGTGTAGCCGTCTCTGACGCTCCTCCCTTTAGCCAGTGTTTCATTCAAGGCCATCCCGTACCTCACCACCCCGTCGTGAAACGCACCCACAAAGTAGTTCACCTGAAAAGACAAACAGATCAGGCTACGACAATGACTGCGCTGCATTCAGACAAACATTTTGTCCGAGGTTTCATTCACGCACGAAAAACACCAAATATACAAAATAATGTTGTTTTTTTGTGAAAATAACTTAATCTAAATATAACAACACTGCCGGGCAAATGAAAGTATATACTTGAAAATTGAATTTCATTAAAAAAAATACAAACATTAAAACGCAAACTCATTAAATTCAGATCTTAGTTCACGTAACCGCTAAACAAAGATCTGGGGATATCCCATTACGGGTCACGTCAGAACGATCTTTCATCCGACCAATCAGAGCGTCGCTTACAGGATCGGGGAAGTGTTTTCTAATCATGCAACCTCGAAAATGTTAGCTCAGGGAATTCCGAATGACAGTTATGGGATTACGACTGATTCAATCAAAATCCTTTTCTATCTCTCGCCTCAATGGGATAAACATTTGAAATGGAAGAGACTTTCCGTAGCCTATGGGAAGTACCATTACTGCCATTTAATAGACCTTCCAGCATTTTCTTTTGTTCAGTTTTCAAATCTTGAATCGAGAACTTAGTCAAAATATGTTTCAAAGCGTAATCCGAAATGGGAATCGCCAGCTTGAAACTAGTGCCGTAAAGCTCGAGAAAGCTGCTTTGTGATTGGCTCACGTCGACTTCTTGTTAGTCATTTCATTGGTCGGTCAAACTTTACGAAAGGTGGCTATAGCGTTACCTGTAACAGGATGTCCTGAGATCTCTGTTAAGCAGTAGCGAGAACTAAGATCGGATTTTGATGAGATTGTATCAGAATGTAACAAGGCTGAAAACAGTCGGCGAAACACTGCAAGCTTAACTTTGACAGCCGTTTCATATCCTAGTACATGACCATCGAATACCCTTGTTTGTTTCATGTCTATCCTCAATTTAACATAGGTGTATATTTTTATTTCTTTTATTTTTTTATAACGGTTGGTTTTTTTCGCTCACGTCCAATGTTCAAGTAGATTATGTCTTTTGCCTGGCAGTTTATGTGAAATGATTATTGGTGTTTGTCTTTCGATACAACAACCACGTTATCTGAAGAGTCGCGAGCAAGCCCATTACAGCTCGAAAAAAACGGACGAAATCGCAGATCAGCAGTACTACTCGACGGTGATAAAGAGGAATGCTTTATCGATGTCAGCGAAACAGGACACGGTGTGTGTGTCCACATGTTATTTATCACGTGGCATAAAGCATGCAATATATAACAGTAATATTGACTGCCTGGTCATCAAGCCACAACATAACAACACTGAATAGAAACAGCCATGGCTTCCCACAATGAAACTCCAACTAAAGTTGGTTGGTTTGTCAGTTGGACACCTGATTTACACAGGACAGATGGTGATGATTTAGATGAAAGTTATCGGGAGTCGGATTTCCTTTGAACAGTTTATGTTTATCTGCACTTGATTCTGACACAGTTTTCTATAGAAGATAAATGCTGATTCCATCGATCCGTGTTAATCACCACGGGTTCCACAGACAACTAACGGGCAAGACAATCATACTATGGTCATATCTCAACGAAGCGTACACACAACGGGACATTTTCAGGTCATTGAGATAATTTTACAGATTAATGTGTGAAATAAATAATTAAGTAATCTATTCAGTAGTTCGTTTTATGTATCCAACTGGCTTAAGTAAAACTGAAAAATAATATAAATTGTTAATGCTATTGTACTCTTGCATATAGAATCAGAGAAGAGACATTGTCGCTCTTACAAAAACAAGCGAAAAGTGTCAAAAGTAGTTAAAGCACGCTGACGCGACAATGTCCCAGTGTTCCCTACTTGCATGGTCGGTAGGTCAAGAATAATGTCATTGTGATCATTTAATCGTTCAAGTTGTCATTTGTCCGCGACTCACCGAGGTCACCCTGGGTGTTTGGGGAATAGATTTGTAGTTCTTCACAGTTGAGTTCGTTATATTCGTAGTCGACTGCTCTCTTCTAGTACCGCGATCCCCCGGATATTTGTGTTCTGGGTACTTATCTTTTGCATGATGGCATTTCTAAAATCTAGACGATTGAATTTTACTTTCCAATAGGAGGTTAAAGTCGCGTCCAAGATTATTGCACTTGAGCGACGTGTGTGTGTGTGTGTGTGTGTGTGTGTGTGTGTGTGTGTGTGTGTGTGTGTGTGTGTCCGGACTTATGCTGATTATAGTGCTAGTTCACTGGGATACCATGCCGCAGTTTAACATGAATACCCCACTCAGACACAGTGTACTGTCTCCCAGCCGACCAGTCCTTGTTTTAGCCCCTTAATGCCGAGCGCCAGACAGGGTAACAACAAGTACTATCTTTTAACGTCTTTTTGTATGACGCAGCCGGGGATCGAACCCGACCGTCCGCTCTCCGGGCGGACGCTCTACCACTAGACAAAGGAGGCGGTCTCTTTCCAATAGGAAAAGGAAGGTGTCAGTGTGTATTCTGTTGCGTTTAGGCATTCTATTAACGACCGTGTCAAATTGACACTTTACAATAGAGGCATATAGGGAATGACTGTTAGTTTACGCCGAATCAACAATTTTCCAGCTATTCGCTAACCAGGTGACAGTTTTGATAAAAAGTACGATTTATAGTATTAAACATTTAACCAGATATGGACTAAACGTCAATCTATAAATAAAAGGACAAATTCTTTTCAGTAACCGTAAGAAATGTGTAATGAAAGCAGCCTATTGTACGGTCACGAGTATATCCTAATAAAAAATACTTATTTCTCTATGTTAGTGTGTTAAATATTGAGCAATTGTATTAAATTGTACGCATTTGGGTAATGCCTTCAATTTTTAACGTGCAGACGATGGTGTCATACGGTGCTAAAACTTCACGAAACGGGCTTACAATGCAATGACGTCACAGTTTGAGGAATGTTACAATGCCTTTCTGATTCACTCTTGCCGTAACCAAAACGCAGCCTCTCGTAAAATGGTAATTTATTCACATTTCGTATTGGTATTTAACGCCGTGTCTTTGACCATATGACTTTTAATCTATGATTCCTCCATTGCTGAGTGCGGCGTAAAACAACAAACAAACAAACAGTGTGACGCTTAAGGGACTACCGATACAATTCGAGCTACGCTGTGAACGTAGACATCTTTAACTCGATAGATCCCCGGCCGCGCCATACCAAAAGACATTAAAAGATGGTACTTGTTGTTACCCTGTCTGGCGCTCGGCATTAAGGGGCTAAAACAAGGACTGGTCGGCTCGGAGTCAGTATACTGTGTCTGAGTGGGGTATTCATGTTAAACTGCGGCATGGTATCTCAGTGGGCTAGCACTATAAATCGGCATCAGTCCGGACTAGTACAAGCAGCCACACACACGTGCATGCACGTCGCTATATAAGTGCAGTAATCTTGGACGCGACGTTAAACCCCATTTCACCTTTAACTCGATAAATCGCTTCTGTTTTCTTCGTTTTTAAAGTGATGTCCTGGTATATTGTTTAACGGTGCTGTGGCCTTATACCGGTAATCTGCATGTCTCGAACTGGGGTCTCACTTTTTCTACATTTCTGGAGTAAAGAACCCTTCAACAAATGGTTTGGGTTTTTTACCTTTTCCTCTCCGTATGTGAAGTTGAAGTCGTCGCTGGCGATTCTGATGACATCACAGGTGAAGTTCTTCCATGCTTCGCTCGTTGGTTCTCGTAAAGAGATCCGAAGAAGGGATTCAAAGGCTGCCTTAGCTTCCGGGTCACGTGAGTCGTCTCTCCGCCAATCATGGTTGCCCCAGTAGTTCCCAGGAAACGGAAATAGCTCAACGTCCATAAAAACGAACTCACCATTGGTTGTGTAGCCCATGTCATGCGCAGTGAGCAGAAACTTTCGCAGAGAATCGCCGGGAACAATCAACACCACAACTGTAGGACAAAGAAAAGGTTATGTACTCAAGTGTAAGCATAATAATTATTGATTCATGATAGCGAAAAGAACTATTTAAATAAGCACTGCGTAAGAGTTCCTGATGGGTAAATAAAGTATAACAAATTATTGATATCCTGATCGCTTTATATAGTATATTGTTATTATTGGTTCCTGATGGCTAGGCTAAATAAAATATGATAATTATGAAATAGAAAATAACAATTATTGGTTTCCGATGGCTAAATATTTTTTTTACAAATTTTGCTCTCTGGTGGCTAAATAAGAAAACAACATGTATTGGCCCTGATAGCCATATATTTTAATTGTATTAGTTCTAAAAGATAAATACAATATCACACTTTGCAAACTAATACCATCAAATGTGTAATTGCAATTGCCTTTTGTTTCATGCATTCTTAAGTATCATAAATTTTGAATTACTTGATTTTAAATTATGATTATTTTATTAAATCAATTTGAATGTTTAATTAGAAGCTACACCAGATGTCTCTGTTCTTAGACATTCCTGTTCATAAATGTAGAGCAAAATTTCAAAGTGTAAAAGCATATTAATAAAGTACCATCACATGCCATTAATACCAGTTTACATTCGTAACCTCCTTGGAAGTATACAAATTGACAGCCGCCGAAACACCCGAAGCAGCACTTTTCTCTAATTTAATGGCATGGGTTCTTTTTCATCCTTTTAACCGAACTTTAACATTTAGAAACAAATAACTTTTTGCAATTTTATTAACGTTTGTATTTTTTTCAAACCCCACCCTATGGGTTTACAAATTAGATCTAAAACCAAGTAATAAAACAAAGGTCAGGTCATCGTAGATCTTACCACGTGCATTATCCGCCGCTGTCTTGAGGATAGTCTCAAAATCAGGATTTTCGTCTCCATAGTATTGTATCATATAGGGGTAGATATTCCCCTTCTGTAACCCGTTCTTCAGCGTCTGCCCGAGGATGTCGGAGTGGGCATCATTGACATCGTAGATAACGACGATTTTCGACCAACTGAACTGCTTGAATACACTCCCAAACACCTTCCTCAGGCGACACTGGCAGTAAGCAAAGCGGGTAAGTGTTGGGTAGTCGGTCTTGTTCTTGAACATTCCTCCATCTCCTAACCCTGGTAAGAAAATGGAAAATATGAAATGATAACACTGCACCAAAAGCTTTCTTTTCAAAACATTACGACGTATACAAACCTTATAGAGTTTTATTTCAAAACAAAAAAAACAATTTCTTAGATTTTGTGTATTACATTACACTGCATACATGCTTTCCCTGGGTGCACCTCGTTGTGATCACGGTTCAGAAAAGGTCCGCATCAGTGAGTGAGTGGGTGAGTTTGGTTTAACGCCGCTTTTAACAGTATTACAGTTATATCAATGCGTGTCAGCTTAATGGGGGAGGAAAGCCCGAAGTGATGCAGGTCTCAGAGGTTTACCACTTTGGTGAAACCCACGAGCACGGGTATGGTGCTGACAAACCTAGAAACATAATCGGGGCGAAGCGGGATTCGAACCCACAATCATAGGTTTCTGGCGTGCCCAAGGGACGTAACTTTGCACAGCGAATCGCGGCGCCGTAGAATCTCTTTTTGAATTTAACGAAATCCTCCTCATTTAGCTCTAAGTATTCTCTGATAATGTCGGTTCCTTTTTCCTAAAATCAGATATTAGAAACTTTGGCACCCAGGAGCAGATATCTTATTCATCTGTAAATGTTCATGAATAATAGTTTCAGTGGATCCTTAAAAGCTTGTGTCTTCCTCAAGTTCAGCAATGGCAATACGTCTATCTGACAGTATAAGTTTTTCTATCTCCTTGATTTAATCTTCATTGATGGACGTTGAGGGACGTCCAGACCTTGGGTCCTCCACAAAGCTTGTTCTCCCAGCATTAAATATAGCTGCCCAACGTTTAACTGTGGAATAGGTGAGCACTTATCCTCATACACTTGTGACATGTGGTCATGAATTTCTTGGGGAGTCAAAAACTTGATGACTGCTCGGTTCTCGTTCTGTTCTTTGCAGGTGAATTGCTGTGTCCGTTTGGACCCCTATCACGTTCAACTAACTGTCACTAATATACAAACGGCCTCAACAGACCACATATACTTGCAATGAACGTCTCAAACAATGTACGAGGTTGACTAGTTCACTTTATGGCCAATAGTCGAACGTTAGTCAGGCTTAGAACTCTTTGACTCGTAAGTAGTTCCATTATCAAGCAATAAACGTACTACCAGAGTTCACAACCTGACCTGTCTTCACCAAATCATGTCTTTCTGGCAGAGATTTCTCATGAATATGGAAAGGGTTTTGTCGCTTTCGTTTTCACGATTTTTTCGAATGTCTGGTACTGTGGATAGAGGTCTGTTCACTTATATGTTCCGTTTAGCCTTTTCTGCTTCAAACTTCCTGTCTGTTTGTGTCTGTTTGCGTATCTTGCATTGCGGCATGATGCAAATGTTTGACATTTGCTGCTTTAATATTCATAGTTATTAATAATATAAATAAAAAATCAAGCTATTTGGTCAAATCGTACAAAAACGATTCCTCTGTCAACTATGGAAGCACGTCGTTCAATAAACAGGTGCGTGTGACTTGCACATGTTCAATCGATATTACAGGATCTATTGTCTGAGTGAAGGGGATTCCTAAATAACTAAGTGTACTAGGTTTAGCTATTTTAAGTGATAATTGATTTATATTGACATGAGAAGGAGGAAAATCAATCTAGATGAAAACTATCTAGTTCTTCACCTCAGTGCAGATCAACACAATTCCACTTCCTAATCTCTTGATCGCTGGTTCATATAACGGTGTAGATCCACGCTATTTCATCACGAACATATGGGTTGGTTGTTCGTGTTCGAAAACATTTTTCGAAACCCAAACTTTTCATGTCCGTGTTTCTCGCTTGACAACTAGTTTCGTAACGAACGCTTCACAAAGTATTCTGATTGCCTTAAACCACTGTCACTCCAAACAAAGGTCAAGTTCACAGAGTAATCACTGAATCAATCATCATTATTTCTCCTCGTATTCATTATTCGAATTTCTTTTCGTAACACAGTCCCAAACCATTATCTACACATGACCCATTTTCCCTTCATATTCATTGTTCGAACTGCCTTAACGTAACACAGTGTCGTATCAGTCACTCGGCACTCTCACTCCTTGATTATCTTCGGCCTTTGTTCATACAGCAGTATGTGAACGCAATATTTACGAGTAGACAGATGTATGGGAGGGGAAATCCAATGTTGGCGAAAAGAGTTATTGATTTAATAATGATTCTTGCCATAGGCCCGAAGAATAATTGATTGATTCTCAATGTAGAGATGATTCTAAAAGGGTTTCTAAAAGGGTTTACAGATCAATGACACATAAGTATCCACAAACTAATATATTTACGGATTTCATCACCAAAACAAACGTAAACTGGGTTTTTTTATAACCCAGAACAGTTATGCTTTCAAAAAGCTGAAAGTATTGACGTTTAAGAATCAAGTGTCAGATAATATTCATATTTCCACGTTTTTCGTAAATTTAAAATTTGGGATGCCTCCATGCAACCTCGTCTCTTTTTAAATAAATACCTTCTTTTTTGCCATTAGTAGTAGAAATTGCACTGAAACATTAATTACCCCTAAAACCTCGTCATACAACTTCTAGAGACCATCATGGACCTTGAAAAGATTAACGTGTTCTTACGCATACAGGGCGATCGGGTAGCCTAGTGGTTAAAGCGTTCGCGCGTCACGGCGAAGACCCGGGTTCGATTCCCAACATGTGTTCCGTGAGTGAAACCCATTTCTGGTGTCCCCCGCCGTGATATTGCTGGAATATTACTGAAAGCTGCGTAAAAACCATACTCACTCAGTCACTCTTACCCATACGTGAACAGTCCGTAAAAACAATAACAGCATGTGTGTAAAAAAGATATTTCAAAAATACCTGTCGCTAATAAGTATGGTGTCTGTCATACAGGCAAATTCATGTGCTTATAAACTTCCTAATGTCGCTTTGCCTGTCAATACACATATGCTCAAGATTCATCTGCATCTTCCCCAGGCAAGGGAGTTAACTGACCATAAAAGTCCAGTTTCCACCCTTGCCGAAGTAGAGTGGAATTGCTTGGCTCGATCGAGGCGCAACCAGCGGCTACTTCGAGTCATGCCCCTTCTATCTCCCTCATATTGACCAATCAGATACCACCTCTCATATCACATGCATTTGCTTCAAACAAAATGGCGGCGCCCAATCAAGACGATCTGGTCGATAATCAAAATCTATATTGTGATAAAACGGATCTTATTCCACGAAGTACATCAAATCACGTGAGCCCATGATTTATAACATGAACAGATTATGAAAATATCTGTTGACGCCGAGTTGGCGGTACAGATGCTTTGTAAACCCTGCAATCGATCGAATCTGCACGGCAGTTTACGAACCGGATGTCGATTTCGTTACGCGGTTTTATTGGACTATGCATAGACTCGTTAGTCCAGCCAAAATATAACTCCATAATTCCAGCCCAGTTCGACAAGGCAGGAAACTGGACTTTTAAAGTCAATTAACTCCCTTTCCTCGGGAAGATGATATCTTGTTTCAAGGATTGACATGAACGATCAGACGTGAAAGCCATGACAGTTACATGTATATCACATACAACAGAAATCGCAAGAGGATCAGGCCACTTTGTAACACTTCCTGTCTCGCTCCAGGGCCCACTTGCACAAAGCGATCTTAATGCGACGACTATCGTAAGTCTATGTTGAAGTATGTGAACACCTGGTGTCTTCACTGATTCTCAGTGGTCCATCCATATAATGTTCACAGCTATGTTGCCCTTGCATCAAGTTTTAATCTGATTCGGCGGATAATATATACCGGTTATTCTCTTGCATTGACAATTTATGTTTACAGTCGTCGTTCCACGCCTTACGATTGTCGTAAGTGCCATACTTTAACATGGACGTTCGTCATTGTACTTTGTAAGTACTATCGCATGTCGAACTTGATCTGTAATAAACCAGGAATCCTTCAACAAAGCGATCAAAGCTTCGACTGTCGTAGTTCTCGTAACTCATAATACATATGACATATTCACGATGCTAGTTTTTCTACGATCGGTTTGTAGAACCGTAGTCTCGTTGTACAAGTAACAAACTTAGCGCTACGACTGTCTAAGTCTATTAATGTGTGGGGTACGATCACCCAAGCGCAAGGATCGCTTTGTGCTTCAGCACCCTGATCTGCTCCAGTGTCTTCGTCCCACGAACGATCTTAACGCTGAGGTTACAACTCGTATATTTTAATGTAGGCCAGTCGTGGAGTTAAAATAGCTTTGTGGATCTAGGGCGTGGTTATTATCGTAGATATTCGTGATTATAATCCTTACACAAGATACACATCAGATAATGGATGTGTTCACGTGCGTGCGTATGTACATCCAGTACGTTTTTGATTGAATGGGAGATCGTAAGGACAAAATCATCAGTATTGATTGGACCATTAGCCTGGTAACCTCATACAGAGGCATGGCATATGTCATGTGTGACACAAGCAATGGCGCATATTCTGAAAGTGTTTGTTATTCCATTGAATACATGAAGTTTATGAATGTGAGCGAGTTAGGGTTAATGCCACCTGACGGCATTTTAGATGCACCACAGAGTGTCAGCGTGTTACGGAAGGAGCATCTCTACGCAGATCGAAGAGGTTCATCACTTTGGTTAAATCAGGTTATGGTTCTGAACAGACCAAGGATCCTAATGAAAGTGAGTGAGTGCGGGCGGGTGTCATGTCAGGAGGTGCTGGTAGCTCAGTAGTCAAGGTGGACGGGGTTCCGTGCCTGAGCTTTGCGTAGACATTAAGCAAGTCATAGGTTGGAATCCAAGATGCGCCCTGATTAGGATCTTGGTCTGTCAGCACCATACCTGTGCACGTGGGTTTTCCAAAAGTGTGGTCTGTGTTCCATGAAACTGACAGGCTTTAACATAACTTAAATACTGTTTATAGAGGTGTGACGTCTAAATTACTTTCTTGACTGTGACAATAATTTTCAAATGCAAAAAATATAAATAATAAATCCCAAGAGGACACGAAACACAAAATGTAAATTCAGGATATTATTTGCTAAAACTTCTCTGTGAAAATGTGTTTAGAATGTAAAAACATACACGACATGTTTAGATCTAAACACGGTTAGGGTATGCACACATGAAATGGGCTATCGTCTGAACACCACCTTAACACATATTCCCATATTCTAAACATGTTTAGAATTCAAAATTTACAATTAAAACATGTTTTGAGTTTAAACATGTTAAGAATTTACAGATGCACCTGCATAACAAATACACCACCAGGACTTACAACGAACTTGATATAATATTAGCATAAAAATGTACAACTAAACCAAGCTAACTTAATGGTGAATAGGAAAATTTGCATTTGTGACAAGTCTCTGCAGCACAGGTGGTAACGTGAAAGACAACGAATCAAAAGGTTGCAGGCTCCTATCCCGCCAGGTTTTTCAACTGTCGTATTCATAAATATGTTCTTTGCTTTATGACTGATAGTATTCTTTCATACATGTAATGGAAGCTGACAATGAAAGTATATCTGAATACTATTTAAGGTACTCACCATACTTATATATCTTTATAAAAGGAAAGAAAACATATACAAAGCGCCTTTTTAAAAGACTGACTGACAATATAACAGTCATGTATTGATAGTTTCTTTAGGTCCTTAAAACTCTTTTCAATAATCATATTCATTTAAAAAAGTAACAAGTACTTCTGTTTTCCCATTTGGTCATACAGTTAATCTACAACGCCCATTTTGTATTTTGACTAAAACCTGAAAAATCCTAAAAAAATGGAAGAAAATTGATCTGAAACATGATATTGAAATTATGAGGCTAGTTTAGAATACGCCTAAGCAATAATGACATTTGCTACTGTGGGTAAAAAAATCAATTTTCCATTTTGCAAGAGTGTATTGCCATTCTCTTCTGTAGCTCTGTTGTATTTTTCTATCCGTGCTTAAAGACCGCTTCACCATATGTTATGCCTTAAGGCAAATAGTCCCATTAATAACTGAGAAGCAGGAAAATATCATTAGGATCTGAATGCGTGTGTTACAATCGAAATGTCATATACACGTCCAATGTTCAAAAAACAAACAATTGTAATTTGTTCAGGAACATCTTTGACTAAAAGGATAATTAGACTACTCGTCTGACTTTAAGTAAGATAGATGCGCATTTAACGACTTGCTCATAACATCAACAAGAATGAAAAAAACGATTGCTCCAAGAAAGCTTTTTCATGCGTGTTCAGACGAATTTCATAGCATCTCGGAGTAAACGAGATTACTTTTTTCTTTAAAAGGAAAATCAATACTAGCTGAAAAACAATTTTTTTTAAATATTTGGTACAACTAAACTGAAGCCAGTTTTAACGTGTTGGAATGGTATGTAAAGTGTAAGAAAATCTGACGAGCTGAGTTTGTCAGACAAACATGTAGCGTCACACCCTAACAGTGCAAACAATGGCTGTTCCGGACAATCAGTCATAGTGACACGAGAACTTTCCAATTTCGTTAATATAAAGGAAACAAATAAACATTTGGAATTTCGACCAGATTTCTTTTTTCAACTACAGCTGCAAACCCAGACAGTTTTGTAATTCAACCTGTGAGCTAAAAAAAAAAATGTCTAAAAACTACATTACAACAATGTAATGTTTTTGACAGACAATTTCATATTTTCCCAACATTATGTAGTCTAATAAAAACATTCTGCGGGGACAATATATTTTTTCGATAAAATTTTGACTAGAGATGATACATCATTAAAGTAAAGTACAAATAGAATATGTAGGCATATATCCACATCATACGACTCTTGTTCAAAAGCTGTTTGATTAGGGTTACAACATTCAAGGCCTCAGTAAAGCTTTCAAAAGGTTTTAAAGCAGACATGTGGTGGACATTTCCAATTTTAACGCATTAGGGACAAAATTGATGTCCGTGGCAGTTCTCTATTTCATGTTTTCACGGTGAGAATGCCTTTTCGCCATAGTTGGCAATATTTAACGGGATAGTAAACATATGTCACGGCGTGCATGTGACTTGTATGGAACTTGTAACTGACTTATATGTGACTTGTATGTGACATGTAACTGACATACATAGTACTTGTAACTAACTTCTATGTGACTTGTAACTAACTTGTATGTGACTTGTAACTGTCATGTAACTAACATGTTTGTGACTTGTAACTGACATGTAACTGACTGGTATGCAACTTGTATGTTACTTGTAACTAACTTGTATGTGACATGTAACTGACATACATAGTACTTGTGTAACTGACTTGTAACTAACTTGTATGTGACTTGTAACTGTCATGTAACTAACTTGTATTTGACTTGTAACTGACTTCTATGTGACTTGTAACTAACTTGTATATGACTTGTAACTGTCATGTAACTAAATTGTATGTGACTTGTAACTGTCATGTAACTGACTTGTATTTTAATTGTAACTGACATGTAACTGACTGGTATGCAACTTGTATGTTACTTGTTACTGTCAAGTAACTAACTTGTATGTGACTTGTAACTGACTTGTATGTGACTTGTAACAGTCATGTAACTAACTTGTATGTGACTTGTAACTGACTTGTATGTGACTTGCAACTAACTTGTATGTGACTTGTAACTGTCATATAACTAACTTGTAACTGACTTGTAACGGACATGTAACTGACTGGTATGCGACTTGTATGTTACTTGTAACTGACTTGAAGCTAAGTCGTATGTTACTTGTAACTGACTTGTAACGGACATGTAACTGACTGGTATGCGACTTGTATGTTACTTGTAACTGACTTGAAGCTAAGTCGTATGTTACTTGTAACTGACTTGTAACGGACATGTAACTGACTGGTATGCGACTTGTATGTTACTTGTAACTGACTTGTAGCTAAATTGTATGTGACTTGTAACCAACTTGAATGTGTTTTGTAATTGACTTGAATATGACTTGAATCTGACTTGTATGTGACGTGTAACTGACTTGAAACTGACAAGAATGGTATTTGTAAGTGTCTTGAATTGGACTTGTAACTGTCATGTAACTAACTTGTAACTGACTTGTAACGGACATGTAATTGACTGGTGTGCGACTTGTATGTTACTTGTCACTGACTTGAAGCTAAGTCGTATGTTACTTGTAACTGACTTGTAACGGACATGTAACTGACTGGTATGCGACTTGTATGTTACTTGTAACTGACTTGTAGCTAAATTGTATGTGACTTGTAACCAACTTGAAAGTGTTTTGTAATTGACTTGAATATGACTTGAATCTGACTTGTATGTGACGTGTAACTGACTTGAAACTGACAGAATGGTATTTGTAAGTGTCTTGAATGGGACTTGTTAATGAATTGTATGTTGTTATGTGTAACTGACTTTTACTGCAATAAGTGATATTAATAACCGACTTAAATGTAACTTGAACGTGACTTGTAGAAACCACAGTTTCAGCTTGTCTGTTAAGAACAGTAACAAGTAAGACCAACCTGTCTGAGGTACAACCGTGTAAAGCTTTACCTGTATATGACTTCATGACCACGAACATGCATCAGCCAACATGTTGTTCTTTCCATTGGGTAATAAACAGTGTTGAATGAACAACAACGAAGAGGAAATTGTTTTTGAATTATTAATGAAATGCTCCAATTGAAGTTTCCATTGGGACGCACTGTCTGTTTTCGCATCCCGCAATCACAATAGCTGGATGTAATATTGATTAAAAACGCAATGGATTCTATTATGGAGAATGAGGTATTCGGTACACCTGCATTACAAAAGAAATGAATATCTTAGTAACTTATCATCAGTATTCACCCTTCTAATTACAACCCGGATCGATTGAGTGAGAAAATGGCTTTTAGCATATTAGTATCATGCCAAGGGGACATCCGGGATGGACGTCACACGTCGTAGCAATGTAAGGGATTAAAGCTGGTTCTTCGTCTTACTTGAGTGCGATGTGAACATTAAGCTATGATCACCCATTAGGCATTGAAAGAGAGTAAATACATGATATTTCACGCGACATACAACAATAGTGTACACTGCCGGGCAAAAGAAAGTATACACTTGAACATTGGGTTTGAATAAAACATTACAAAAACGTTATCAAAACGTTACAAGGCTGAAAATAATGTAAGAACAGCTATCTTCACATGATCCAATTTTACCTGTTATTATGGGGATGTTCCAGAAGCCAGCCAATCGCGCGACGCCATCCAAAGCATATGCACAAGCCGGACCAATCAGAGCAATGATATTTTCCTTGTAAAACAGATCAGCCGCCACGCCTGTGAAGAGAAAACAAAATTACAATTGAAATGAAATATTTAGGATTTTATTTTTGTCGTTTTGTTTCACTTATTCAAATTCCCTTTTTTGATTTTACCAGTCCTCAAGACTCATATATCTAAAAAAAAGATCAGCTAGGAGGGAAATTCTATTGGCGTCCATGGGATGTCCACGTCTTGCCTAACTGTCATATACGCAAAGATAGAAATGTAACTATAACTATGATCACCGCGTTTAGAGACAAAATACACAAGGAATCCTGAATGAAAGTTCCTTAAGTGTGCTGATAAAGTAACATTTTATTTCCGTTTTCTTTGACCCGATGGCCTTCAACTTTAACTATTTAAGAATAGTCAATTGATTCTCATTGCCATTTGACACTTCGTCGTGGTTCAACGTACCGAGGTAACACTGGGTATGTCTTGCTGTCTCGTTCTTATCATCAAACAGACTGAGACATGAAAATTTCAAGGCGTTCATATTTCAAAAGAATAATGCTTTTTGAAATTCGAAATGTCAAAGCCACAGAATAATCATCTTCGGATATCTGCCGACACAGATTCGATATAGCGTTAAGGGTAAAATAATAGGAATGGGTCTCTGAAAATCGGAAATTCCAGTAAAGCAATATCCCATTCTACCGGCAGTAGTGAGTGGGGGGAAGTTTTACGCCGCTTTTAGGAATATTCCAGCAATATCACGGCTGGGGACACCAGAAATGGGCTTCACACATTGTACCCATGTCGGGAATCGAACACATGTCTTCAGCGTGACGAGCGAACGCTTTAACCACAAGAGTACCCTAACGCCCCTCCGGCAGCAGAGTAAGGAGGTTTAAAAAAGCCATGTACATGACGACATGGGATGGACTCGCGCATCATGTTGACACGTGTCATGTATCACGGACTCAAAACAAAACATTAGGGATAATGAATATTTTTTGGGATATATTTATGAAATTGAGTTCTAATTGTTCACTCCAAACAAAATCCCAAAAAAATGTCATGATCCCTGACGATTTTGTGTTCAGTATACCTTCAAAGACAACAAACAGATACATAATGAACAATGGATTTCTAAAAATGATGTCCGATGCTATTCCCTATATGGACTTGTACCATATGTTCCCGTGTTTCGCCTTTGCATGTGTTTGTGACGGGTGTCACCGGTGGGGCAGGATACGCTCACCTTTCCGCGAACACCTTGTATCAATATCAATGATGTGGTCGGAATCGTAAATCGACTTGTGGATGTGGAAAGGATTTTGTCGCTTTTATTTCCACTTATCGTCCCATTTCCGAATACCTGTCATTCATTGGTTCATTCATATCATTTTTATTATTTTTGACTTTGTACACCCAATGGAACCTATTTGGGCAGAGAATCGAGACTGGTATGACTGTACACACCTTGAAACAAACATAGGGCATGGATGAATACATATCCAATACCCGGTTTCTTACCTGGCAGATTGTGAAGGAAATATTTCTTTGTTTGTTAGATGCCGCACTGAGCAATATTCCAGTTTTATGACGGCGGTCCGTAAAAAATCTATTTTGGACCTGACAATCCAGTGATTGACAGCATGAGCATCGAATTACGCAATTGGGATACCATGACATGCATCAACCGAGTCACCGAGCCTGACCCCCCGATCCAGTTAGTTGGATCTTACGACAAGCAAGGCTGTTGGAGATCAAATATAACCCGGGTCTTCACGATGGAATAATGGAATAAGCATTTGTAGTTGAATGAAACAACAGATGAGAAACATGTCGCGGAAACGTCTACTTATTGACGTCCGGATATTTGAATAGGTTTTAAATGTTCAGAGACTTGTGCTTTTTGTGTATCCAAAATATTATTTGCCAACAAAAGACACATTGACAGTTTCTCTGGATTATTCTCACGTTGTGTTTGTGTTCGGATTGAAACAGAAAATACAATATTTCAAAATTGTCTCTCCAAAATCTAATCTTGACCATCCTATTGCAAACGTAACATCACAGTATCACATTACCACTAATAGCCAAGCGATGGCCAGCTAATCCTTTCTCAGCTGCTTAACAAACGGAATATGTAGCAAATGAGACACAAATCTGCTGACAGGCAGATGGGTATACAAAAGGAGTACAATGCAGATGACAACGTCAGTTTGGAGACACAATGGATCCATGACACGGTGGTATATCGGTTAAAGAACCTATCAAATTGAACTTCCTTTTGTTTCGACCCTTTTAGCAGCGAGGATGACCAAACGGGCTGAATAAGCCATCCGCTATTTTTGACCTATTGTGTGTGCTTCGTCGCATTGCAGTCTCATTGACAGATAATCGAGAGAACTATTACTTATAATTACATACAGACTGCTGTGGGCGGCTTCAAGGGGGTGAGTGAGTGGATCAATGCGTTTTATCGCCGCAGTCAACAATATTATCAATTACAGATCGGCAGTGGTGATAAAATGCTGCTTGGTGAGGGAGTGAGTGGATGAATGTTGTTTTAACAACGCAGTCAACAATATCATTACTAACACGCTTCAGTTACTTTTGGCTTAACCTTTGGGCGGTGGGGTAGCCTAGACTAAAGCGTTCGCTCGTCACGCCGAAGACCCGGGTTCGATTACCCATGGGCTCAATGTTTGAAGCCAATTTCTTGTGTCCCCGCCTTGTTATATCTTGAATTTAGTTAGAAACGGCGTAAAACCAGACTCACTCATTCACATTGGCTTAACTCTACAACCTGGAGACATGTCCGTTCCTCTTTCGTAATGGATTCAGAAGCTCCACAAAACATCCGTGCAAAGAGAGATATATTCCTGGGTAAAGTGCTGCTCGAAGTGAGAAGAGAGTGGATTGTTATAGAATGGTGTTGGGAATATTAAAGCCCTCTCACAACTCAGGGAAACACGTGAAGAACAGGACCATCCGATCCTCATTGTATTCACATATCACGTCACCCGGCAGAAATTGGGAAATGTGTTCAGATGTGACAAAAATATTCATGTTGGAACTGATTATTTGATGGTATAGAGGGGGGGGGGGGGGGGGGGGGGTGTTCTATCGAGACGAGATATTATTCAGTCACAGACACAAAACCAGACATGTCTTCAGTTAAAACAATGAGCCTGATTTGTGGCAGACACTTTTACTTATAAGCAGTAGAATCTCTGCACTTATACACAGCAGCCTTGCTCCAAAAATTAACATATCGTTTTAGTTTCAACAAAATCAATACATAACCTATCATATCAATGACATTTCTGGTTCATCGATCACTTGATTGTCTGGTTTGTGTTCAGGAGTACTGCTGTGCGGCATCAGGCAACAAACACTTACCTTTTTATGCATACTGTGTGGGTGGCGGGTGCTACCGGTAGAGCAGGACACGCTTACCCTTCCCGAACACCCGGTGTCCTCATTGATGTTCAGTGATCCGTTCATATACTTGTCACCGCTATTTGCTTTTTATGCCAATTGTAACCAGTTTCGGGGGATAATTGAGACTGGTTATTCTCTGTTTTATATGTAATACCATGTCAAGTATTGGTCATTAGCGGGCACGGGTGGCCCAGTTGTCTAAGGCGCCGCGATTCGCTGTGCAGAGTTGCGTCCCTTGGGCACGCCAGAAACCTATGATTGTGGGTTCGAATCCCGCTTCGCCCCGATTATGTTTCTAGGTTTGTCAGCACCATACCCGTGCTCGTGGGTTTCACAGCAGTGGTAAACGTCTGAGACCTGCATCACTTCGAGCTTTCCTCCCACATTAAGCTGACACGCCGCGATATAACTGGAATACTGTTAAAAGCGGCGTTAAACCCAACTCACTCACTCCTGGTCATTATTTGAATGTCAGTATTTACGTTGTCTAGCAACACCTGATGAAAACAACAACGTTCATAAAAGAAATATAAAATCCACCATGTATACACGACAAATGGAAAGGGCCTACAAGTAAAGGCTGTATGTTCATGATCAATGTATTCATTATTTTGTTTAGAATCTGTGTGATGTTTAAGCATGTCATTTCACTCCCGGAGCCAGCTACATTGTGTAATACTAGCTAAACTAAAAATGTGAGAATTAATAGGCAGTGCGCTGACTCCAGTCTCCTGCCTTGTGTGTCTTCAATGGCAATGACTGAGACATTGTAATGGGTATAAAAGACTCGATTCTATACGATAGTTCTTCTGCTGGTTGAATATCAGATGTGTTCAGACTTACGTGATGTGCCATGTATTTACAATGAAGCTATCAATATTTAATTATTAATTACCACAACAAAACGTACAATCAGACCGATTATGTCAATATCACCATTTCAGTTCTCAAGGCCAGTTCAGTAACCAGTTGTATGTGATGTTTGCTATCACATGCCACTTTTGCAGTTTAAGTAGGAAGTAAATATAATGTGTTTTGAAATCTGATGTACATCTGTGTTATCGAATACACTCCTGACATCGCGTCAGGAGTTTACGGATCAATGTTTTAAGAGGAAGACAAGGGAGGCCTATTGATATATGTAAAGGTATGTATAGATTACTGTGTCACTCGCGGAATCTGAAGTGTGGACTACCTTTGTCAGTACTAGATGAGAGAGATGGTCACAGATACTCCTACACCTGTAGTGTGACCTTTTTTCATCAGCACTAGATGAGAGAGATGGTCACCGTCACAGATACCCCTACACCTGTAGTGTGAACTACTTTCATCAGCACTAGATGAGAGAGATGGTCGTAGATACTCCTACACCTGTAGTGTGAACTACTTTCATCAGCACTAGATGAGAGAGATGGTCACAGATACTCCTACACCTGTAGTGTGGACTAATTTCATCGGTACTAGATGAGAGAGATGGTCACAGATACTCCTACACCTGTAGTGTGGACTACTTTTATCAGCACTAGATGAGAGAGATGGTCACAGATACTCCTACACCTGTAGTGTCGACTACTTTCATCGGTACTATATGAGAGAGATGGTAACAGATACTCCTACAC